ATATTCCGTATCTAAATCATTTTGTTTCCATTGACGTAGGTCCAAAATCTTGTTTTTTATGAAACGCTAATATTTTTTTATTGTGATTTATTACATACCAATATTTCTCTTGGCGCTACCTCGGTATCTTTATATGTCATTAATAAATTTCGATCTTCCTTTAACGATAATTTAAATTTGTTTCAATATTAACTAACAATTCGTTTTCACAATTTCATTGGATGATTAAAAACATTTTCTAATTTTAAATTGTCAACCTCAACGCTCTTTTACTAGTCCCAATCTAATTAGAATAATTATGAATTAAGTGTCGAATATAACTAGAGATTGACAGATGTATAGTCCTGATGAGTAGAAAAACTTAGTTGGTATTACATTTTAAAGTATGAAATTGTATAGCTATAAATAATACATTCGGTACATCCATTCGCTCATTGTCCCTAAATAACTTTTAGTTCTGAATAAAGTCGTCTTATTGACGGTCAGATTAAATAACCGTCGTCGTAAGCACTGATTTTAATTAAACATATCTTTAAAAAACGCAATAGTAATTTTGTTTTAGGTTCGACCAACGGAAACATTAGAAACAGGATATCGGAGTAATAACATGTAAACATAGAGACGCGTCCATTAAAATTATATTCTCTAAATTCCCTCTAAATTCCTTATAGCGTCACGTTTAGTTTTATGCCATTCTCCCAAAGCAACATTAACCAAACAAACTTAATATTGGTCTATAAGAGTTGATCGAACTAAATATAAAAATAACAAATTAATATGGTAGAGCCTAGATCTGGTCAAGTTACTCCAACTCGAACATAGGCTGGCTCCATCCCTAAAGTATCTCTCACAGAAAATCTGCGTGAAGTAGCCTTTGATGACTGCGTTTCGTCCGATAAGTGTGATAGCCGGTTGCCGTTTTCCTATTCCCACCCTTTCCGGCCTTCTCTCTATCCTACACTCTCTCTGTTAAAACCATTTCCTACTTCTTCAAAAATCATTATTGAATTACACATGTTACACATGTTTATTTGAAGCACGAAAGCATGCTAATTGAGCAATTGCTATTTCTAGCATGGGTGTCAAAATGTTGCTTAAAATAAGCTTGCTAATTTGAAGCATGCTTTAATAACGACAGGCGTTCGATTTTAAAGCATGCTACTAGTGGCGCGGGTGCAAGGGGGCGTGCTTTGAGCACGCCTTAACAGGTTTGCTTAATGAGTATGCTAGATATCTTGTTTCTGTATTGAGGTTTTAACTTTAAGCATCGGCATATATGTATAGTGCTAGCACTTGCTCCCAAGTCCTGTCTTCTGGATATTATTATTTATTATTTAATACTTTTTTGCACACCACACTTTCAATAAAGACAATTACAAAAAAAAACAAACTTAAAACTAACGATGTAACAAAAGGCGGCCTTATGGCTTATTAGCCATTTCTTCCAGGCAACCTGGGGTTAGAGGATTTTGTTTGGAGACAGTATAGGGTGGTACATAGATATTCTTAAAATAAATGTAACCTAAACACATACAAAAATAAATAACAATAATAAATATTCAATAATATACATACGTACATATATCAATACATACATACATACATACATACATACATACATTCGTACATACAAATACATATAAATACATACATACAAACATATAGATACATATATATATATATATAATACATACATTAGTCATAATCATGTCGTCATCATTATTGTGATAAGAGATATAGGTTCTTTAAGGACTTTTTAAAAGTATATAGGGTTTTAGACTGTCGAACGCTCAATGGTAGGTCATTCCAGAGAGTTATTGCCTGCACAGTGAACGACTTGCTGTAATATTTACTGTTATGAGCAGGCATTTTCAGAATGAGCCTGCGTGCTGGTCGCATTTTGGACTGATCTCCTACAAATTCAAATCTCTCCTTAAGATATTGAGGAGCATTTGGATTAAATAACACACAGTACAGAAGAGAAAGAGTATGCAGGTTCCGGCGACGGCGAATAGGGAGCCACTTGAGCTTTGAACGAAACTCTGAAACGTGGTCATACTTTCGGAGACCGAAAATAAACCGAATAGCTAGATTTTGTAATCGCTCAAGATAATTAAGTTGGTCCTCGGTAAGATTAAGATAGCTTGCGTCCGCGTAATCGAGTATTGAAAGAAGGAGAGAGTTTGCAAGCATAGTTTTGGTAGGAATTGGCAGTAAGTTTTGAAGTCGGCGCAAAGAACTTAAGGAGGCGTATGTTTTTTTTCCAATATGCTTTAAATGCTCCGACCAGGAGAGAGTACTATCAAGCTGTATACCAAGGTCTCTAACATTGGAGCAGTAGGACAAGTTAGTACCATTGTACACAACCCGTGGCATCTCCGCCCAATCAACCCTTGCCATCATGGCTGAACTGCCAACAACAATGACCTGTGACTTTGCGGGATTGATGTTAAGCCCATACTGTTGACTCCATTTATGAATATTCAATTACAGACCCTTATCAGTCTCTTTCTTCTCTTTTTTTGCGACTGATATAAGCTTCTGAATGCATTGCATCGCCAGCAAAGGGATGATCTTATTCATCTACATACGGATAGCTGTTTGATCATCCATGACTTTGTTTGCACTGACAGAGAGCGAGAAAAGCAAGCTATAAAAATTATGTGTGTTTGGAACGTTTGCTTTGAGCATGCTTATTCAAGAGTAGATGACTCCCAAGCATGCTAGTATTGAGCATACTCAATATCACCCGTTTTAGCATCCTAATTAAGAACATGTGTAACAGTAGCCTTATGTTGCGGTTGTCCATGGACGACGGTGATTACTTCCCATACTTCCCATTAAGTTTAAGCTCGTTAAGCTCGTTTGCCACCTCATATATATAAGACAGACCCTGGCTAAAGCTGAGAAATTGAAAGGTAGAAGATATATATATTTAAAAAAAGAAAATTAGTAACCTACGTTTCTTCAACTCTCGCTTTTTACTTTAATTCTAAATATATTTTCTTAACTTTATCGATGTAAAATCCACCATTAATAACTGGAAATAAAGGTAATGATAAAATAGAAATTTGCAAAAAAATGCTTAAGCCTTAGCGTTATACTACATTTCATTACATTCTTTATTCAGTTCGTCGCCATCAAAATTTAACAAAATGTGTTTTTCTCTTTAAATAGGACAATTGTTCTTTTAAAGTTACCAACAATTAAATCAACGTTTTGATTTGTTCAACTTAAAAAATTCTTTATTAATCATTGAAAATTATTTATTATAGTTCTCTTGTTAATGAATATAATATATTTAATATACATTTTAATAGGCAAAAAAATGTCAAAAAATAATTACAAAGAACAAATAAATATATTTACGACTCTCCAGAACATTAGTATGTAACATTAGTACTAGGAATACTATATCCAAAACGATCTATCTACTTCTTCACGTCTTAAAATTATCACCTCTTCATTATTTATTTATAAACATAGAAATATTTATTAGTATAGAATACAATATAAAACTATTTTTCGTTAAGAGAATAGTTTTTTTACCATACTAAACTTCCTACTTAAAATTTCGGGCAGCACAAAAAAACAAAAACTTTTTAAATAGCTTTATAATTTTATTAGAACAAACATCACTGTGTAAACAATGACAATCTAAATACTGAAGAAAAAAAATTATGCAAAAATAGCAACACAAAAATCACATATAAAATAAAACTTATTTTATTATAGTTCTCTTGTTAATGAATATAATATATTTAATATACATTTTAATAGGCAAAAAAATGTCAAAAAATAATTACAAAGAACAAATAAATATATTTACGACTCTCCAGAACATTAGTATGTAACATTAGTACTAGGAATACTATATCCAAAACGATCTATCTACTTCTTCACGTCTTAAAATTATCACCTCTTCATTATTTATTTATAAACATAGAAATATTTATTAGTATAGAATACAATATAAAACTATTTTTCGTTAAGAGAATAGTTTTTTTACCATACTAAACTTCCTACTTAAAATTTCGGGCAGCACAAAAAAACAAAAACTTTTTAAATAGCTTTATAATTTTATTAGAACAAACATCACTGTGTAAACAATGACAATCTAAATACTGAAGAAAAAAAATTATGCAAAAATAGCAACACAAAAATCACATATAAAATAAAACTTAAAATAAAGTAACACCAATTTCAGAAACGAAGTGAAAAACAATCTAATAGTATGTGTAAAAATTTATTTACAACATGTACTTTTTCAATTATTATTATTATTATTATTATGCCTCAGTAAATGCTTAGCATTGAGTAAGAAATATATTGTTAATAAAAATGGAACAAAGGAATGTCTATACAATGGCAATCCCTTGATATACAATTGATATTATTTATTATGCATTTTATTATGAATCTCATATCACTCTTCGGAATACCTATTTAGGTAATTTACCAACTTCATATAAATATGCAGCGAAGAGTTTGATCTGAAAACAAATTACATTAAATGAATAAAGTTAAATAAATTGTATATTTAATAAATCATTTTTTTTTTTGTTAGCCTGTTGAAAATAAATTAATTCATAAAGAATTTGTTAGCTACAGTTACAGCAATTTCATATGTGTTCTGATTAAAAAAACTAAACATTATAGCTTTCACATTAAATAGCAAAAGAAATGCAATACTCGGATTTTTCCAACAGATATATCAAACTAATAAAAAGTTACATTGAACTGTAAATATGTATTGTATTGGTCCCATAAAGTCAAGTCAAATCTCAATCAATGACCCCAATAAAGTCAAGTTAAATTTTGACAAAAAACCGAATGAAGTCAAATCGATTCTCGACCTACGGACCCTATGAAATGAAATTAAATCTCGATCAATGACCTAACCAAGTCAAGTCAATTCTCGATCAATGACAATATCAAGTCAAGTCAAATCTCGATCAAAGACCCAATCAAGTCAAGTCAATTCCCAATCAATGACCAAATCAAGTCAAGTCAAATCTCACCCCCTCTATATAGTTCCGGACGTTGATCTTCTCGTTCTGTGAGTGCGCCATATCGTCTCCGGCGCCCATGGGTAGCAGCAGCACGTTCTTGGCGCTGGCCTCTTGGAGTGTTATCGTCACTGGTATAGAACCTCCCTCACGAGACATGTCCGGCTCAGTCTGGACAAACATTGGATAAATAGAACTATTATTTATTGCTTACTAGACGTTTGTAATAGTTATTCCTATATTATTTATGATAACAATAGATAATTTGCTTCAAATAATGTAGACTAACTTAGTCAATACTGACAAGAATTGTAAAAAATATTGTTTTAATATATGCAGTACTTGTACATTACTTTATACCGTGTGTTATCTATTATTTTAATATTACCAACAGACAATCCACTGTTGTGTTTACAAAAGTATTGTTACATACGAATCTAATCTATTGACTATCTTTACGTGATTTAACCAAGCAGAGACATTTATAAAGCAAGTCTAGGCTTCTTCTTCTTCCTGGCAATTTCCCAGTTTTAGCCAGGCTCTGCCTAGTCTATGTATTTTAATTTTTAAGATTTTTCTTTCTTCTTTTCTCATCATATATCTGTCTCTTTCTATCTCTTTTCTCTATCATTCCAACTCATTGATGCCAGCCTTTTCTATGAAGATCTTCGTAACATAAAGGCCTCATAATATTATATATATAATACCTTGTATATAAGTCGTGTAGCTCTAGCGGCGGCCTGATAGTGTGGATGTTCTGGGTTCTCGGTCCAAGCGCGTCCCGACTGAGCAGTTATACGCATCTTGTTGGGAGACCCGCGTTCTTCCCACTATGAAAAAATGTATATATAATTAATAAAGGAAAACCATTAAACGTTATTATAATTATTCATTTCAATTTGTGCAAAAACCACCTGAACTTTTTTTTACATATAGCCTTATTTTTTCAATAATGGCTTTATGATTCACTAAAAAAACTCTTTAAAGTCTTCACAGTAAGAAATGTAAACATAATAATTATTATAGTAAATGATCAGTAAATGGCTATATGTAATTATAAATAATTGGTTGGGAAATTTTAACAATAAGTAGTTAGTTATTTGTACTGAATATGGAATTGTTTGTGCAGTAACTGTGCAATGTGTCATTTGTAGGTATGGATGTCTTAAATGTTTTCCTATAACAGAATTTCCTCGACCGGGATAAGAACCTGTAACCTTCAGTATGTCGTGTTTCAATTACTTAACCAACTAAGCTATCGCGCCCGATTCGGGTTGGTGAATTGAACATTCTCTTAGTTCTATTATATATTTTTCAAGGGATTTGAAATTCTATATCTTGTACTTTAAATATGACCTAAATATTTTAATGTTCAAAACCATGATTATTTGTGTTATATACTAGTTTTTGCCCGCGACTTCGTCCGCGTTTATTTCGGAATTAATAATATATGTATAGCTGTCTGGGCTAATTGCATTCCTCCCTAGTGGCGGTAAATAACCAGATATTGGAGTTTATGAAGTTTTTTCTGCTTAGATCCAACAGAATTAAATATCCTATGTATGTCTCCTGGTTCTAGGCTATTTCTCAGCCTATTTTAAACCACATCCGTACAGCCGTTCTTGTGTTATAAATAGTATAAGTAACACAACTTTATATATTACCTTCTTGTGAACATAGTCAAACACGAGTTTCTCAACTTCCTCCGGCTCTTGGTTAGGGACAATACGAATTGAGAACTTGCCAATGACCTTCCCGGGGATCACAGTCTTTGCACCAGGTTGGAAGGCAGCGCCTGTATAGACAAAATAATATTCCTTTAAATTATTCATTTTATTAACAGCAAATACACAATATGCATTAACCATTGCAAGATATAAATTTACGTCGATACTAAAGAATAATTCTTATTTACTTCACGTATTTCAATGAGTCGCGAATTATGTTTAATTATTGTATCCTACCAAATGATATACTCCTGACAATTCAAAGCTAAATCATTCTGGTTCATCTCTTTGGAAATATAACCAGGAATTTTTGTTTTATACTTAATAACTTCTATCTAACAAAATAACTTCTCCCAAACCAGATCATTCTCCCACACTTATCATGGATATTCGAAATGAAACCGAATCCTTGCTACAAATCTGTATTACCAAATTAAATAAGCAAACTTATATTTTTACATAAAAAACTAAATTCATTAGATAATTATTTTGAAATAAAACACTTAATAAAAATGCATTTCAGTTACAAAAAATAGCAAACAACCTATATCATGCGACAAAGACAACACCAAAAAAGTTTAGTATTTATATATTTAATGAAAATCCATTAAAATACATTTCTGTCGTAGTAAAAATAATAATAACTTTACTACAAATAATTTAATATATTTATTTGAACATCCAAATTTACTATTACGAAATATTCCTTAACGTGTTGCTTCACAATTTAGAGACAATGTAATATCAAGGTCATATAAATTTAAGTCTATTAGATTCTTATTCTAACACGGACACATTCTACTTGTATAAAATTGTTTCTACATCAAACACTCTGATTTTAAAATACCGTTTTTTTAATAATTTAATGATTTTAAATTCGGATAACGAGCTTATGAGTCTATAGATAATGAAAAAAATTGCTATCAACGAGATTATAGATTAAATAATAATAATCAATTAATATTAATAGCTTAAAATAATATAATTATCATATGCACAATCTTTAACACCTTGTTTGTTCATCTTATTTTAATGAACATATAAAACCTCCTTTATTATAGTAATATTAAAGGAGTTTTTATATATCATACCTATTACTTATTCTCCTACTTTTATGTAATAATAATACTATACCTTCAATTCCATGGAGTGACAGGCTGGGATACCTCCAACGGTGCATCAATAGTTGTTCCTTTACACCATTATGGGCCAGTTTGTGGGCGCTTATTGATTGTCTATAAATATAATTATTATGATAATTTATAATATACTTATTGAAAAATATCGTAATTACGATTTTTCATTAATAAAAAATAAATCGTAATCAATACAATAATCACAATTTTTGAGTTAAAAATAAGTACTCATTAAAAAAAAAAAAAAATTTTTTTATGTGGCTGAAGCGATGTTTTGATGTATTCAATAATAATGTTTTCAAAGTGCATACCTATTTGTTTAATAAAAAACTAATGATATATGTTTATACAAAAAGGGGATATATATTCATATAAATATGTAGTATAATTAGTATGGATTATATAGAGTTATTATTTCTATAGGTATATATCTTAAATTTTACTGCTTAAGAATGTCTAAATATTGTTCATTAAATTTCTCATTGACATTTACATGTAATTAATAAAATGTAATCTTCTCCAGTGCGAGTGAAGCCTTAGCATTTAAAAAAATCTAAATGACACTCGAGTTTAACTCGATAATAGATTTAGTCACTATTATAAAATACCATATCTCCAGAGACATTCTATGATACCTTATCTAAATAAATAAAGATAATATTAATGTCAAACGCTTAGCAAATATCATATACTGGTTAAGACAAATAAAGAAATGTTGTTGAGTAATTCATTATACAAACAGACAAACTTTTGTATTTTACTTTGTTATTTATGTAATAAACACAATAAGAAAATCAAAGCAGGAAATTGAATATTTATAACAAACAGGATCATAATGTGTTGCTTACATCCTTTTTTTTATGTTTAGTCTTAGCCTATCTTCATTAATATAACCATTTATAGAAATTAATCTTTTATTTTATTATAATAATATAACATGAGTGATAAAGATGTTTTTACTTTACCAAAATATTTTAATGCCACTAAAATTAAACTATATCTTGCGGAGTATACTATGCGTATTTTAGTACTGTAAAAACTACATACTCCCGACATGATACTTTTCAGCAACCGTGATCACGGGCAGATGAGATATGAATACGTTTCAGTAGTAGTTTTTCGAAAGTCTTAGATCTCATTAAAATACTACAATGTTTGCTTGACTTAAGTGTGAAGTAATAATAAGTTTAAAAATTGTACAAACCTGTATGCCTCTGGATTGAAGTCAATAGTATTGTACAGTTTCTGTTCATTATCTGTGAGTGGTGCTACCGACTTGTATATGTCGGTGATTAAAATTTTTCCGTCTTTATCAACAAGAGTATTCATAAGGTATATGAGATCGGACATGGCTGAAATGAAAAAAATTTATGTTCATTTAATAGCACTTAAGAGGATTAAAAAAGCTATCTATGTTTTATAACTTGAATCATTGCTGGGATGCATAAATATCAGTCAATTATAGTCTAAAAAAAGATTTTAATTGTGCATTTATAGGAAAATGTATAATAAATTTAAATTAGAAAAATATATATTGGAAAGCCCAGACATTGATTAATTTGGTGACATCAGCTGTTGTGATATGATAGATAATATTGTGTTAAGGGCAATAACATAAATTTTAATCAGTTACATAATGTAATGAATGTTTTGTAGCACTAACATGTTTATGTTACTTCATATTACGAAGCATTTTATACATATTTTATACTTTAATAAATATATAAATTTGATGCACATTTTTATCTGAGTAGCATTTTATTCTTAAGAAAATGATTATGAACACATGAAAATTTTGAATATAAGAATTTCTATTAGAAATTTGTCTTAACCAAAAATATATTATTTACATATAATTTGTTTTGTATGCAGTAGCATCATGTAATAATTTTCTGTATGTACCTATTATGTACAATACAAAATTATCAGTCAACCTCACATATGAGCCTGTGATATTCTATCACACAATGTAATTTATTGTCAATGATTGATAATGCTTTGTTACCAACTCAATACATGATTCATACTTTTGTGTCATGGTAATTTAATCATAGCTACATGCATTTCCAGAGCTAATAACTATATATGTATTGAGAAATGCTCTCATACCTTCATGTACAGTTCCTCCGTATACACCACTGTGGAGATCCATTTTAGCGCATTCAACCTCCAAGAAATAGTAGCTGATGCCTCTTAGACCATAAGTAATGCAAGGTTTAGTAGTCCCCAGCCAGTAGTTATCAGAAATACAAACATAGTCCACTGAATCAAAGAAACCTTCAGGCTTCAATTTCTGCATTAGCAACTCATCAAGACCCTCCGACCCAGATTCTTCCATACATTCAAATATGAATTTGAGATTCACTGGCAGCTGTGTAGAAATATTTCATATAAGAAAAATATTTCATCATTGAGTGAATTACTTAATTTAATTATAACATACCTCCTCGCCAGTGGCTTTGTACGCATTGATAGCATGAAGCCAACCTAGTACTGGTCCCTTATCGTCTGTGGCACCTCTACCAAACAACTTTCCATCACGCTCCACTAAATCAAACGGTTCAGATTCCCAGCCGTCAGATTTAAGAGCAGGTTGGACATCTAAATGGCCATAAATGCAGATTGTATTTTTTTTGGGATCCTGTAGATGCAAGAATCAGAGAATGCAATACAATATTTTAGCAATAAATAATATTATATTTCGAAATCTAGAATTTTTTTACTTACATTTTCAAGAACGCCAACCAGAACCGGTGGTAGTTTCACTTCCTTGCCATCGAAATTCTGATAACCTACATCTCTTATTTCAGTCGATGCTCCAACTTCTTTCAACTTGTCCCTCATCCAGTATACCATTTTGACGCATTCTTCTCGGTATTTAGGATCGCAGGAAACCGATGGAATTGCAACAGCATCCTTTAACAGGCCTTTATAAGATTCTACATTCTCATCAACATATTTAAAAATTTTTGGTAAAGTTTTTTCTGCCATCTTCAGTTGTACGGGTCTATAGCGAAATGAATTAGTGTGGAAAGACGACTTGAATTTATTAAAACTAAGTGCAGTCGCTATCGCCGGCTGTTTTGAAGTATAACAAACACGTAATGCTTTTGTTATTAAAGACATTTCGCAAAATTGACAGATAACGCCAGATCTTGACTTTGACGTTATAGTAGGAAGTTAGTTTTTGGTAGATAAATAGATAGACTTTAAAATAGTACGAAATGTATTTAAATGAATTAACAACATTATAATTTAACGGCATAGTCATCGGTTTAAATAAATACAGTTACTAGTTTAAATAACGTTTAAATGTTAAAATAATTTCAAATGTATGTCGTTAATATCAAACACTACGATATGAGCAAAATTCAGTGTTGTTTTGAGTTGTAACCTACTAAAATAATGTACCGGGATAGATCATACAGATTTAAGTAATTTGTAAAATGTTCTATTGCCTTCAATTTTAAAAATATGCGAAAGAGACTATACACAAAGTTAACTTTAAAATTATATCCTTGTGATTTTTCCTGTAGTCGGCGCGATAATGTTCGCCACTTTAGGAGCTAATTAGGATAAGCGGAAGAACTTTAATTTTGTGTCTTCTTTTGCTCGTACACAAAAATATATCAGTTAAACCTGGCATGCCTTTCATTTAATCTAAGCTAAAGGGTACAAAAGAATAAACTATGTAGCCACATAATATTATACTAAACATTATGTTGCAAGATATTAATTTAAGGAAAAATAATAGATTATACACATCTTTTAGTAATAATTTATTGCAATAATAATTAATTTTCATAAAAACAATCAATCCATACCACTCATGTATTACTATTGAATAAAAAAGTTGTACAGCATCGGTAAAACATACATTATAGACTCGTTTAATCGTAAGGTTTTAACTTAAAAATAAATTATTTGTTTTAGGCATTTGCAAGCATATTACATTAGTCAAGAATCTTCTAGTAATCATTCATACTATTATTATCAAAAACACTAATTTATTTGATTTTTATCTACTTATTACATAAAATCTCTTGGAATGTGTTGCTTCTCTTTGATACACAATTCTCTATGATATATGATAAATATATTAACAATTTACACTTCGGATTGCCCTGAAAAGAGAAAAGATTATTAGAATATATTTATAAACATGTATAATAAAGCTTCTGATGGGTCGTGATCTCATGAGGTATCTAATTTTGGTACTAGACTACTACACGTCACAATTAATTTGAAATATGTACCTTTATGACGTGTTAGTTCATTAAACATTTAAGAAATGCTAACGTATGACAAAAGTTCTAATTTCAGACAAAAGTTATTAACAAATAATATATCTAATATATTTTTTAGTCATACTATGTCAAATTGAACTGTTCCAAGGTTATGTCTATGTACTAACCCATTATCTGCTACGGGAGTAAGGAATATAACACTGGCGTGTCTTTGCAGCCAGTAGGTAGTGAAAGCCGCTAGTATGGTGGCGAAGGCCCCGGCCGCGGCCGCCACACGAGCGCCCACACCAGCCGCTCGAACAAACACACGCGCCCATAGACCAAGCCACACAGACTCGGTCCATGTAGAGAACTCGGCGGATGTTATGTTGTAATCTGTTAGATTTATTTTGCAAGTGAAACAAGGCAGCGTTAAACGTTTAACGCTGGCGCTCGAAAGCATGAGAGCAATCAATTGTGACTAATAAGTAATGTTAATAATGTCTTAAAAACACTAAAAATTCTTTAAAAATCAATTTCTATCCCTTATTGTTTTCATTCCAAGATAACGAAGTTTCACTTCTTTCGCGCGAAGCGACTCGACGCACAATTTTTTCATTTAATTATTTAGTTATTAATGATATTTTTTAAGACAAATGAATTACAAAAATTAAAGTTTAAAAAAATATGTAGACCTGGTTTAATAAACGCTGGACTGATGGCTTGACTGAAGTTCATTGTTGTTTGTATACAAATACCACTGTGGTTCCAACCCCGAAGATAGTAATATGAGAAGCCCTGTAAAAATAAACACATTTTGTAAGATCAATGGGATTTCTTAAATTGTTAGTATTGCCATGTCGGCTTACAAATTATCAAATATAATACTATCAAAGGAAAATGTAAAAGAAATTTAGTTTGAAAGAAGAGACAAAACCTCTTAGCTGTGGAACACTCACCTCCACCGTCCAAGCTAATATCTCTACCTTTACCAAATTTTAAAAGAACCTACTAGAGCTGCCTTTGAAGTAAGTTTCAAATACGTTAAAAAAATGTGTAAACAATTAAAAACTCCTAGTAAAAGAAAAATATAATTACTTTCTTTCACGCACACAATCAAAAATTAGCCCGATACCACATTCAAATAAAGTCCATAATTCTAGAGAACTTCAATGTAGTATAACTATTTAAAACGAACCGGAGTGCCGATCTTATCGCAGGCGGTCCTATTGACTTGTAAGTGGGTTCCCGTGAGCAAAGCCAGGAGATGGCCGGAGTATAGCGCGGCTGGTGTGGACGCAGCAGCGACTCCCACGTACAGGGGCGCAGGCCTATCGTCAGGGGGCGTGTCCTCGTTACTGTAGTAGTCCGCAGCCACCAACAACCTGCAAGCCTGGCTTCGGAGGAAACAGTACAGCATTTCGTCCACCTGGTATAGACAAACATTTTTGTTTTAATACAAACGTCACATCACAAAACCATAGACTAAAACTTCGTGACATACGTATGCACAGATAATTAATTAATATTCCAGTATAGTCTTAAATTATAACACTCGTGACAAAAATGCCGTATATTTTTGTTTAAATATGTTCGTTAAATATAAAACTTACTAAATGTGCGGATGATGAAATATTTCCAGTGTACGCAGTTCCAACGATCTGTTGGTACAATGTATGGGCGAGTGATGTTGCCACTCGAGCTACCTTAACTTGCGCCTCATTCTCTGACATGGTGCCGTTCGATATTAAATCGTCCGTTGATATAACTGAAAGACAAACAACAAAATTCATTAAATTATCATTTTATTATTAAATATTGTTTTTTATTGATCATTTAATTGTGTTTTCATTAATTTGCAGTAACCGTGATCATAAAGAATCAAGATAAAAGTGTCCGTTATTTAGTCATGATACTCATCATCTACCGCAAAAAGGAATACATTCATATATTTATATGAAACAGTTTAGGTTCAGAAACTATTGGTAAATAAAGAAGTAGTAAACTATGCAACTTTTTTTAGGGTGAGTTTAAGAGCATTGTCATAATAGATATTTAATACATAAGATATTTCTGGAGTCCAAACAGGAGTACATTAATAACATTCGAGCCGCAAATGGATATTACAAAAATATAGATAATAGTTTCATTTTAATAACTGTATATTTCTAAAATTATTCATTCGTTATCATATTTTTATTTTCATATTTATAATACGGGCAAGACTTAACAATCCTGCTAAAGTAACCGGCACGTAACTTGGCAAGAGAAGATAGATGCGCAAAATTCTATTTTTATGTGTTTTAGATACATAATTTTAATTCCTTGCGCGTTATTGAATTTTCTCCTGAGTACACTTAAGTGTAATTAAATTGAAACTACTATTATTATTTATTACTGTTACTGTGTTTGTTACTGAAAGGCATCAAGAATGGCCTCTTGTTGTTGTACTGAGTGTACATGAGCAAACTTATCCCCACTACGTCAAAACCTTGACAAGTTACGTGCCGGCACCAATACATATATGTACTTACATTTTCCATCATTACTGATAGTAATATTGTGGTAGGTATAACCGATGCTCTCATAGTCATCTAATGCTGATTGATAAAACTTATTCGTAAACTTCCCCACGTGGTCGACTAACAATATCTCCGGTAATTCCCCGCTCTCAGTTGCGTTGGAAAGAATTTTTCTAAACGAATGTAGGGAAGACGGCGGCAAGTTTATAGAAAACTCTGATTCGATAGTCATGTTATTGCTCTGAGAGTATGAAGACATCTCAGCAAGAAACTCTGTAACCTGAAAATATAAATTATAATACACTAAAATTGCATATTTTATATTGGTATACTATGAATATATTTGTATAAAACTTTATCATTTATACATATATTTCAATATACTACAGACTTAATTGTAAAACATGTAATATTAATAATTAATCGTTTGTTGTTTCTTTCACTACTTATTAAAGGGTAAATACTAACTTGAGGCGGTATAGCATATGTATAAGGCGCGTAGGCATACAGCGGCCAATTGGGGTTGTCTTTGAACAAATTCAACGAACCCCCTAGTTGTCCCAATTCCACATGTAGATTGATATCCTTGGAGGTGATAGGAGATAACGGCGGCCACACCCCCCGAGATATATCGTACGCCACCCTCTGAGATCCAATATAATCATATGACTCGCCATTAAATAATGTGAAGAGAACATTTTTATCTGGAATAGAAGGACCATTTAAATTCTTTCATTTCATTAACAATAAAAGGTTTTGTTATTAACATTTGAACCCGGTGTCAACTTTTTTATCTACGGTAATACCCCGCTTAGCGCGACCCCGTTATGCGCGGTTTCACTATAACGCGAATTTCAAAAGATATTCAGGTTTGGACATATAGCAGAGTATAGACAATAATGATGACTGTGTCTTGACCATGTGTCAAACAATTAAAAGGTATTGGGTGTTATAAAAGTATCTTACAAGAACGTAAACAAAACGCTACCCAAAAGAGAATAGATGTATTTTTTCGTAAAAAATAGGAGTATGCAATACATAAAGTATTCTTAGAATTAAAGTGGTTGATTAAAATTATTTCTATTTTTTTGTATTAAATTTTGAATATTTTTAATCATAAACCTCGATATACGAGAATTTTAGTTAACACGATTTTTTTTGGACGCATCCCCCGCATAAAGCGGGGTATTACTGTATATTAAAAAAAATTATCTATGTTTCTTTTAAATAAAAAAACTCACTGTATAGAGGGGCGTCAGAAAGAGGTATCATTTGTGACAGTGTGGCCGCTGTAGTTATTAGTGTTACCAACCCAACAACTGCACTAGCTGCTCCAGGGGCCACACCTAAAATAACATCAAATGTATAGAATATCTCATTACTAATCATTACTTATCGTTTTAAATATTGAAAGTTTTACATTCAATATATACACCAATTTACTGGTATATTATAATACTTAATATATTATTATTTTAAAATAAACAAAAATTTTAAATATGCTAAAGATCTCACCATCAAACAGCGATGCTGCATCCATTCTTGCAGTCACTAAAATTACTTGTTTGTTTTCTTTTGCTGTTTCCTTAAAATATAACAACGTAATTATCATTTCAAATGTGAATTAAATCTTGATAGTCTATGCAAAACCAACCTTTGGCCGTGGGAATAGAGAAGAATATACATTGTAATCCCCGAGTGGATCACACATCTTAATAGCTATTCCAAATATTGAAGTTGCTGACCTGTTATAAAAAATAACATTCCAAATATAAATTATATAAAAAGTGTATTTATAGCAGTAAAACCTTCATGATAATTACCTCCTTAAACACACAGCAGTATTAACAGCAGCATACATAAATGAACTTAATTGTAAGGAACACAACGGTCTGCCTTTCTGATTATCCTTATCAAGATTATATCTGAAATAATTAAGTTTATATAACATACCATTAGCTATAAATTACATACTAAAAGAATCTCTCTTATGTTGGACATATGTAATATAAGAAAAAATATTCAAGATGATAATTATAAAATAGTTTAATATGTACAAGCTAACCAAGAATTGGATATACTAGTACCTATCATGACACTGTGTAATTTTATCTATTTCTGATATTCTAGAACTTGGCAGAAAGAATATTGGAAAAGGTATATCTCTCCTCAAAAGACCAGAACCATTCTCATTCCAAACAACATCGCCAGCACACTTGCCGTCAGGTCCAACGGAGTTTTCATTTGGACATTGAGTTTCCGGACTGAAGAAATCAGGTCTAAAATCAAAAATATACTAAACAAAAGTATTATTTATTTATAACATATTATTCAAACATTTGCAATTTCATTTACACAATAAGATTTCATTTGATTTAATAGAATCAAATGTAAATCTTATACAAACAAGATTAATACTTTTCTTTGCCATAACATAAAACCTACTACTGTAATTTATGATAAATATGGTGAACATTTAAAATTATATAGATATTGATAATTAATAATATTAACTATCTTACCTTTCAGTAGCATTTTCATATAACAAAATACCAGCTACATTAGTTGGTTCCTGCATAAAAATTTCTATGACCTCATTGAAAACTATTGTATTTACAACAGCCACATATGGACCAGCACTTGAATTATAGACCATCCATTGAGCATCTGATATATTCGAAATCATATGAACTGCACCCACTGCACCATTCAAGGGGGCTGGTAGAAAAAAAATAGGTTAGTTCATATTTTTGCACCAGTTACAAATATTTCTTTATTGATAAGTTAAACCAGTGATTCCCAAAGTGGTCCAGGTGGACCCCCAGGGGTCCACGGGAGACTTGCTGGGGGTCTACGTAGGCGTGAACAAAAAATGGGGGTCCACGAAAATTTATCTGCTTTTAATAGTAAAGAGCAAAAATGTAAGCATAGTTTTTATAAGGGCCTACCTACATTGTTTTAAGTACCTAACTAAGCAGATAATATTTTAATAAGGCAAGCGACTGTTACTTGTCCAAACTTGCGTATTCGATATTACGTACAATTTCGTGTACAGACTTGCAAAGCGCTATCCGCCCGACAATGCTTAATGCTTGTTCAGACATGAACTTGATCACCACTATAAATACTTGATGCCAAAGGCAAACACTCATTCATTTGTTTCCAAAATTACTAAAATTTTATTTTACCTATCGGAATATAGAGACAGAACTCAGAAGTGACACAATTTTTATTTTTTGGCGAATTTAAGAATGTGGTAGAAATGTAGCAGCAGGGGGTCCACCGAAACCAATAAAATTTTGAAAGTGGTCCACGAGAAAAATAAGTTTGGGGACTACAGGTCTAGATTCACAATTTTGTCCGCTGGACAATGTTTTTTTCATTAATTTTTAATTTATTAGTAGTTGTTTTATTACAAACGTTTTTTTTCGACATTAGATTTGACAACTAACTAATGAAACGGGGCTCTCTGATTGGTCGGTAAACTGTTCATATAATTTTTTCGCCATTTTATTATTATTAAATATTGTCATTTGTCTTTCTAACTTCTAAGAACACGTGAATAGGTTTTAATTAGTTTATTAATAAACAGTGGATTAATTTATTAACAGTTGATTAATTTATTAACAGTGGATTTACTAACAGTTGATTAATTTATTAACAGTTGATTAATTTATTAACAGTTGATTAATTTATTAACAGAGGATTAATTTATTAAGTTGATTAATTTATTAACAGTTGATTAATTTATTAACAGTGGATTAATTTATTAACAGTGGATTAATTTATTAACAGAGGATTAATTTATTAACAGTTGATTAATTTATTAACAGTTGATTAATTTACTAACAGTGGATTTACTAACAGTGGATTAATTTATTAACAGTTGATTTACTAACAGTTGATTAATTTATTAACAGTGGATTAATTTACTAACAGTGGATTTACTAACAGTTGATTAATTTATTAACAGTTGATTAATTTATTAACAGTGGAATAATTTATTAACAGTTGATTAATTTATTAACAGAGGATTAATTTATTAACAGCTGATTTACTAACAGTTGATTAATTTATTAACAGTTGATTAATTTATTAACAGTGGATTAATTTATTAACAGAGGATTAATTTATTAAGTTGATTAATTTATTAACAGTTGATTAATTTATTAACAGTGGATTAATTTATTAACAGTGGATTAATTTATTAACAGAGGATTAATTTATTAACAGTTGATTAATTTATCAACAGTTGATTAATTTACTAACAGTGGATTTACTAACAGTGGATTTACTAACAGTGGATTAATTTATTAACAGTTGATTTACTAACAGTTGATTAATTTATTAACAGTGGATTAATTTACTAACAGTGGATTTACTAACAGTTGATTAATTTATTAACAGTTGATTAATTTATTAACAGTGGAATAATTTATTAACAGTTGATTAATTTATTAACAGAGGATTAATTTATTAACAGCTGATTTACTAACAGTTGATTAATTTATTAACAGTTGATTAATTTATTAACAGTGGATTAATTTATTAACAGTTGATTAATTTATTAACAGTTGATTAATTTATTAACAGAGGATTAATTTATTAACAGTTGATTAATTTATTAACAGTTGATTAATTTATTAACAGTGGATTAATTTATTAACAGAGGATTAATTAATTAACAGTGGATTTACTAACAGTTGATTAATTTATTAACAGTGGATTAATTTATTAACAGTGGATAAATTTATTAACAGTGGATTTACTAACAGTTGATTAATTTATTAACAGTTGATTAATTTATTAACAGTGGATTAATTTATTAACAGTGGATTAATTTATTAACAGTTGATTAATTTATTAACAGTGGATTAATTTATTAACAGTGGATTAATATATTAACAGTGGATTTACTAACAGTGGATTAATTTATTAACAGTGGATTAATTTATTAACAGTTGATTAATTTATTAACAGTTGATTAATTTATTAACAGTGGATTAATTTATTAACAGTGGATTAATTTATTAACAGTTGATTAATTTATTAACAGTGGATTAATTTATTAACAGTTGATTAATTTATTAACAGTTGATTAATTTATTAACAGTGGATTAATTTATTAACAGTGGATTAATTTATTAACAGAGGATTAATTTATTAACAGTTGATTAATTTATTAACAGTTGATTAATTTACTAACAGTGGATTTACTAACAGTGGATTAATTTATTAACAGTTGATTTACTAACAGTTGATTAATTTATTAACAGTTGATTAATTTATTAACAGTTGATTAATTTACTAACAGTGGATTTACTAACAGTGGATTAATTTATTAACAGTTGATTTACTAACAGTTGATTAATTTATTAACAGTGGATTAATTTACTAACAGTGGATTTACTAACAGTTGATTAATTTATTAACAGTTGATTAATTTATTAACAGTGGAATAATTTATTAACAGTTGATTAATTTATTAACAGAGGATTAATTTATTAACAGCTGATTTACTAACAGTTGATTAATTTATTAACAGTTGATTAATTTATTAACAGTGGATTAATTTATTAACAGTTGATTAATTTATTAACAGTTGATTAATTTATTAACAGAGGATTAATTTATTAACAGTTGATTAATTTATTAACAGTTGATTAATTTATTAACAGAGGATTAATTAATTAACAGTGGATTTACTAACAGTTGATTAATTTATTAACAGTGGATTAATTTATTAACAGTGGATAAATTTATTAACAGTGGATTTACTAACAGTTGATTAATTTATTAACAGTTGATTAATTTATTAACAGTGGATTAATTTATTAACAGTTGATTAATTTATTAACAGAGGATTAATTTATTAACAGTTGATTAATTTATTAACAGTTGATTAATTTACTAACAGTGGATTTACTAACAGTGGATTAATTTATTAACAGTTGATTTACTAACAGTTGATTAATTTATTAACAGTGGATTAATTTACTAACAGTGGATTTACTAACAGTTGATTAATTTATTAACAGTTGATTAATTTATTAACAGTTGATTAATTTATTAACAGTGGATTAATTTATTAACAGTGGATTAATTTATTAACAGAGGATTAATTTATTAACAGTTGATTAATTTATCAACAGTTGATTAATTTACTAACAGTGGATTTACTAACAGTGGATTAATTTATTAACAGTTGATTTACTAACAGTTGATTAATTTATTAACAGTGGATTAATTTACTAACAGTGGATTTACTAACAGTTGATTAATTTATTAACAGTTGATTAATTTATTAATAGTGGAATAATTTATTAACAGTTGATTAATTTATTAACAGAGGATTAATTTATTAACAGCTGATTTACTAACAGTTGATTAATTTATTAACAGTGGATTTACTAACAGTTGATTAATTTATTAACAGTTGATTAATTTATTAACAGTGGATTAATTTATTAACAGTGGATTAATTTATTAACAGTTGATTAATTCATTAACAGCTGATTTACTAACAGTTGATTAATTTATTAACAGTGGATTAATTTATTAACAGAGGATTAATTTATTAAGTTGATTAATTTATTAACAGTTGATTAATTTATTAACAGTGGATTAATTTATTAACAGTGGATTAATTTATTAACAGAGGATTAATTTATTAACAGTTGATTAATTTATCAACAGTTGATTAATTTACTAACAGTGGATTTACTAACAGTGGATTAATTTATTAACAGTTGATTTACTAACAGTTGATTAATTTATTAACAGTGGATTAATTTACTAACAGTGGATTTACTAACAGTTGATTAATTTATTAACAGTTGATTAATTTATTAACAGTGGAATAATTTATTAACAGTTGATTAATTTATTAACAGAGGATTAATTTATTAACAGCTGATTTACTAACAGTTGATTAATTTATTAACAGTGGATTTACTAACAGTTGATTAATTTATTAACAGTTGATTAATTTATTAACAGTGGATTAATTTATTAACAGTGGATTAATTTATTAACAGTTGATTAATTCATTAACAGTGGATTTACTAACAGTTGATTAATTTATTCACAGTTGATTAATTTATTAACAGAGGATTAATTTATTAACAGTTGATTAATTTATTAACAGTTGATTAATTTGTTAACAGTTGATTAATTTATTAACAGTGGATTAATTTATTAACAGTTGATTAATTTAATAACAGTGGATTTACTAACAGTGGATTAATTTATTAACAGTTGATTAATATATTAACAGTGGATTTACTAACAGTTGATTAATTTATTAACGATAATAATGAAAGTTAGAGAATGATAAATAATCATTGGGACTCGACACTAGAAGAGGCTCGACATAGTAGATCAGCAGCTAAGGTGAGAGATCTTTTGCCATTCTCATAGCGACGTGTGGTCTCTCAAATCCTCAGATATTATGGGAAAAGTCCCAAAATGATATGTCTGACTATATTTTGAACAGACTACAACAAAATAATCCCAATGTCACATATTATTATTTAGTTTATAACGAGGCGCTAACTAAGATTCAAGACCAAGTGATGGCTATATCTGGGAAGACATTATCAGATTTTGGAATGAACCGGCCACAAGGAATCGGAGAAGTCAATAGTGATTTAATAAGAGAACTGGACTACAATGTCTCTTCTTTACAGCAACAAATATCAGAGTCTGTTCCTCGATTGAACACGGAACAAAAATTAGTTTATGATATTGTTGTGCAAAGAATCGATAATGGTGAGGGTGGATTGTTTTTCTTTGATGCGCCAGGAGGCACTAGGAAAACACTCATTCATTTGTTTCCAAAATTTCTAAAATTTTATTTTACCTATCGGAATATAGAGACAGAACTCAGAAGTGACACAATTTTTATTTTTTGGCGAATTTAAGAATGTGGTAGAAATGTAGCAGCAGGGGGTCCACCGAAACCAGTAAAATTTTGAAAGTGGTCCACGAGAAAAATAAGTTTGGGGACTACTGAGTTAAACTATACATCAAACTATCTCCAAAAATTGCATTTCTTGAAGTCTTAAGTCACTGACAAATCATTGTATCAATTATAAGATTAATTCAGTCTTAAAAAACATGATATACAGGTATAACTCTACTTGATATCATTCCAGTATTAAAAGTAATAAACTGACATAGTTGTTAGTTGTCACTGTTATAGAATTTACTTAGTAGAGTACAATAATTTGTGCTTACATGTACATCCTGCCTGGTGAGTGCCATTTAAACGCCTGAAACAGGCAGCTCCACCTTCAATAGATGAATAAATCTGCTCATGCAGCCTTTCACATACAGAATCTGAAAATTTAGTTCATACTATATTTAATAAACACTTAACATTTTAGGAATTCATTAGTAGCTAGGTACATGCTTAAATTATTTGTATAAACGATCAATTTCTTAGGTAACAGTTTAAATGAATTGATATTTACCTTTGGATAGCAATATTACTGAAAACCACATAAAAATCTTCAAAGAACTCATTGTATATCTATTTGTGATGATACGAAGTCACTAAATTTATTTATGAAGTATTAAAGTATACATAATTTATATTTCAAAAAGATATTTTACAATATTTATTAGAATTCACTGTTTCTTATAATTATGCGTCAAGCGTATTATTAAGTTTTAAGCTTGCTTATGTATAAATGGTATAAGTCAGTTGCCATCAGTCACTACTGTCACTTCTCACTACTTATAAGTTACAGCTATTTTATTTGTCCTAAAAGCTAGCAATTTTGCCTGTTTTGTAATTAAATCACTTTTAAAATCTAATTATTAAATAATATTAAGAAAAACAAGTACTATTCATTATCCATTTTTTGTATAATATATTTTTATGTTAAGATTTACCTTTTACATAATAATAATGGATATATTATGTATTTTATTTTAAACTTCACTTAAATTCATTTCGATGAGGGTATGGGAATTGTTTATTTCTAATGATTTCCGTCAAAATATATATAAATCAACTAGCTTTTTGCTTTAATTGGCATTGTTCAACTCTTTTTATTTTATATTATTAAGTGTTTTCCGAACTAACCATTTATATACCTTTAAACAAGTAAATTGATGTTTTATCTATATTAAATGAAATTTTCACTAGCGATATCTTCATAAAAAATGAGAACGTTTATTTTATATGTAAATGAAACATTTTGTAACATTAAAAATACAATGCTTATAATATAATGGTTAAAAATAAATTCTGCCATTTGTAGTAAATAAAATATGTTTGTCTTAAAAATATATATAATTTCTTCAAATGCATATTTTATTATATTATATTGACCTTCATTGTTGACGATATATTTTATTTAGAAATCTGTCATGGGATATAGATGTCATAATACAGTCATTTGAATTTAATATATGGCAACAGGGATATCTTTGTCGTTGAGTCAGCCATTTTTAACAACTACAGCTGTGTTTCATTTTGTTAGTTTCGTTAGTTGCTCGTGGTTATTTTTATATTTTGGGATTATTCAAAGATAATTTATATAAAATTGCGTAATGGTGGAAAAGGCTGAGGTGAAGGTTAGTATTTTAGAAAGTATTATAAAGGTTCAATTATTTGACTAAAACTTCCATTGTTTCGATCTTTTGGTTGGTCGATATTTTTTATGGACGTATCTCGTATTAACGTGTACTTTTCAAATATGTTTTGATACACGATATCAAAGTGTTTACAATGTTATCAGAATATTCGCACATTTGTTACTTTTATACATATTAAGAATTGTAAAATTTAAATTCTCGTAATTTTAAGTATATTGATTTAAATTTTAAGTGTGTTGTCTTTAATTGAGATGAATAAAAAATCCATTAACATATATAATTGTAAAATTATATAGGAGGTAGAATTATAAATAATAACACGAAAAGATAGTATGACCCCTAAAGTATGTTAATTATTTTAGTAGGTGAGGGTATGTTTGAGAATGACAATATATGAGCTAAGGAAATCTTTAAAATATTATTCAATGCCTGCAAAACCTTGGTTTAGTTATTTTTTTACCTCCTCATATTATTTTTTTGTCTGGTAGTTTATAAAATACCACATGCAGTAGCGACACAAATAGTATGGGATACAGTTTTAACATATAAAAACTTGCTTGGCTATTAAAGACTACACCTTTATGCTTAACATATTGTTCTTGTACCTATATAATTTTTTTTTTACAATAATTTTAATGTTCTATTAAAATAAATGAGATATAATTACATTTTTATTTGATTGTCATTAATTAAATAATCATATATACCTACCTAGAAATAATTACATTAATTTTGTTTTGCAATTATTTTTGAATTTTGAATTGAAATTTAATGCTTAATATTTGTAATAAGTAATTCATTATCAAATGTCTTTTTCAATAAATGGGCTTGGCTAAAATTACTCTGAAATATATATATAAAGTAATTTTAACATGTATATTTTGTTATATCTGTTGGAACTTAATAGCAATATACTGTAAAATTATATAATTATTTGTCTGTTTGTTAATATCAAAAAGATAATTAATTTTACCTATATCTTACTATAAAATCATGCAAGTATGTTTCAACTTAAAAGCCTCAATATTTTTTTTATATATTGTAATATAAATAATATGGTGTGCGAGTGTGACGGTAGGAACGCCCCTAAAAAAAGAGTTTCCACTATGTCATCAAAAAAAAAAAAAAAAGAGTGACTGAATAATATTATTTTGTAATCTAAAAATTTAAGTATGACAAGTGTGTACAAAAAATTATTTTGTTATTTTGAATGAAGTAACTATAAGATATAATATTTGAATTAATTTTTATTTCAGCCGGAATCACTTCTCAATCTAGATGATTTGTTACAATGTCCAGTCTGCTATGAAATACCATCAGGACAAATATTTCAATGCAATGAGGGTCATCATGTATGTGGCCGTTGCAAGATGCGCCTCGATGTATGCCCAGTATGTCGGGCACTCTTTTTTGGCACAAGAAATTATGCTATGGAAGAATTGATTGCCAATTTTAGAAAATTACGTGCTTTTGTATGTATTTTAATTTTCTTTATGTCACTGATATTTAAAAATGTCTTGCTTGCATTAATTTAATAAATTGTAAAATGTTTTAGAAACTTGGTGCTAAAGCTACAAACGGCTCGGGTTCTTCAGAAAGCAGTACACCAGCTAAAGACACAACCACGGGGGAATGTGAAAATGATGTTAATGAAGAAGATGAAGAAAATAATCTCAATTTAACTAATGTAAGTTTGAAATATAATAGTCTAAAACATGGTTGGTTGGTGTCATGGTGTCATAGAGGTGGTGTTTTATATATTTACTTAAAAACTTTGCAACTGATTAGTTTTTATATGTAACTTAACATCTAATCTCAGAACATTGCCCTTTAAGATGATGATTTAGTATTAGTAATGTTTCTGTGCACAACCACAATTAATTATTACAGACTACATTTTAACTTAGCCATAAACTTATACTAAGGCTTCATTCTTGCTTATTATAACCAAGACAAGAGCTAGTAATATATTCTTACTGAATGATATCTCTTCTTTAAAACAGCAAGCTCCACTGAGACCACCTCCGGCATGCAAAGGGCTCTTCCGTTGTCTTTGTTGCAAAAGTGGACAAGGGGAACGGTTACCAGCCGCCCGCTTATTGAACCATCTCCGTTATTATCATGCTCCAGATCTGCTTGAGGTGAATATAAATTATAATTGATTTAACTTTAATTGGACTGATCAATGATTAATAATTACATGTTCTTAATCTACATTATTTTACAAACAGTTTTAATTACTGTAAGATTTGTGATTCTAAACAGTCCAACAATTTGTTAATAATATTTTATAATTTTTAGGGTCGGACTGAGAATGGAGAGTATTTGCAAGCATGGCAATTTTCTACAGTACCTGGCAAACTGGTTACTGCCGTTAGAGTAGCTGATATGGGCATATTCTTTTTGACAATAGAAATAAGTAGTAAGTATATGTAATTTTACAAGTTTTTGTTTATGAAATGTATTATAAAATATCAATCAACTCTAAATATTTAATTATTTACAGGTGATTCAGTGTGTGCTTGGTTAGCAATGGCTTCCTCACCTTGGGTAGCTCACAATTTTAATTATACAGTTACCATCTGTGGTAACGATCGTGAAGCTATATTTTCCGATTGTGTAAGTTTAATTTTATTTAAATAGTTAATATGACACCGTTCTATGTTGTTAATACGTATATATTTTCAGGTCTGGTCCGTAAGGTCTTGCGAAGGGTCGTTGAAGAAGCGAGGTCACTGCCTCATAGTCCGTGACTTAGACGCGCGTGCTCTCGTCGCTCCTAGTACTATCAATGGCAAGCTGAGCATTCGTCGCACGCCGGCAGATCAGCTCGCCACTCAGTCACAACCTCGCGCCGTACTTCGTATAGCAAACAGAGTCAACCAAAACGCGTCGAACAATCTGGAACCCTTCTTACAAGACCTGCAAAACGACGTGGCCCGCTTATCCCGCGCTTTCGCAACTCTGGGCAGGGAAGCGAATGCGTTGGTTCGCGTGGCGGAAATGGGAGCGAGGATCGAAGACCTGCCGGCGCCTGCAGCTGAACAGAATTCCGACGATCGTGGCTCGGAATCTTCTGAGGTTGGATCTCAACCTACTCCAAGCGAGGCCGTGAATGTCGTGCAGCACATGTCCCGTAACGCTCGCAGGCGTATGCGTCAGCGGTTACGATTAGCTCTGAACGGTCCGATCCAACCGCTGGCGTCGCCTCCAGCGCGCGTCTCGGGTCATGTGAACGTGAACAATGTGAACGGTTACACCAACAACAGCACGTTCCTGACGCCCTCCGACTCTCCTCCGTCCTCCTCGAGCGGCCCGTCGCAGCCCGCCGCCTCTCGCAACAAGAGGAAACGCCGTCATCGCAGATAAGCGATGGACACACCCTTTACGATACTACTTATAAGTAGCTATATTCGATGATAACGTGTAATGTTGTTACTCTATTCTAGAGTCTCGGATGTTTCCTCTGGGGGTCTCCTACTGTGCATGAACCGTTTTAATTGTATATATTATACGTCTTTTGACAACGCAATCTTTACAAGTGCTGTGATAAATAATGCATGCTGTGTTTGTGCATACATAGGATACTACCGAAACGTTTCATTGTTTGAAAGTCCCCAGAGTGAGTATTTTGTGATTTAGGGAAATGCATATATATAATTAATTGTTATAAATTTAGTTAGTTATATTTCATTAATGGTGAATTACAAGCATTTGTATCATTTTAATTATAATTGACATGATCCGGTTTGACAACAAACTTATTAAGTAAGATATTTTGACTAGCGATACAATTATGAATTTGCTTGTTTTTAATCATTGTAATTGCAAATTCAATTTTAGAATTATTATTATAATGTTTAATAATGCGTTAATAACCAATTTGATAACAAATAGTTATAATGATTATAATATAAGGAATTACAAGCCATATCTTTCATTTTTTCCTTGGAACTTGTAACTTAAGCTTAATATCTTCTGCATCTGCTTCTCAATAATCTTACATCTTGCCACTAGTAATTTAGAAGAGTCGTCAATTATTACAAGAATATAAGGTAACCATATTTACGATGGGTATATTTTAACTTTTAATCTTTTCAAGACCTTTGGGTTAAAGGTTTGCAGTACTGAGGTTCAGATTTCTTCTATTTCTTGTGTCTTTTATTTTTGAAGATATTTCTTTGCTGTTGTTATTTCTCGAAAAAGAATAAATACACTGCACCACTCCTCACGGTAATGCTAGTAACCCTTATTTCCCCAGGTTTAAAACACATTACATATGGACCGTTAACAGTTTTCCATTTATAAATCAACGCACATCTGAATGTTGACGTAAATTAGAAACGGGAAATGTTTTGAATACCCAGATATGGCAGTGGTATGCTAGGGAGGGCGCGATTGACAAGATATGTGATTTTATATGTAGGTATGTGTCTAGATGCAAAAGTTCCCTACATAGGTATGTGTGTTTCAATGAGCAATTTTTATAAATATCGTTATAAATTGTTAACTTGATGCCGTCGGAGGCTGCTGCAGACACTCTTTTCTTTATCCACGTCGTCCTAACCTCGAGCACTAAGTACTAACCCACAACTTTAAAGACACCCATTGAACGAAAGTAGCAACGAATAAAAATCTATACTAATAAAAAGCTGAAGAGTTTGTTTGAAAGCGCTAATCTCCGAAACTACTGGTTCGAATTGAATAATTCTTTTTGTGTTGGATAGTCCAGTTATCGAGGAAGGCTGTGGGCTATATAACATCACGCTACTACCAATAGGAGCAAAGATATAGTGGTAAATGTGTAAAAAACGAGAGAAATTATTTCATCTTTGAAGCCATCCGTTGCGTGCGCCGTGAAAACGGTACAAGATAAACAAAAAATATGTATTAACGTATAACAGATCTTTTAATGATCTTAAAAACAGTCCGCGACAGTATATGTCTATTTTTTAAGCTTAACTCACAAAAACCGTTTTTAAGATACCTAATTTGGTCGAAATAATGTGTTTAAGTTGTATCAACATAATAATATTCATCTTTATTCAAATAAACAAATAAATATGTTGTTGGTTAAAAGTACTTCATTGTGAATAAAAAAAACATAGGTTTTATCCTGAAAATTCTACGGGAACTATGTGGGAAGAATCTGCCGGAAGTCACTATTCCACGCAGACGAAGTCGCGGCAAAAGCTAGTATAAGATAAAACAATATAGGAAAAGATATCGGCACCCAAAGTCCGGTTCATAAAATGGGCGCATCTTTATTCTTTTTACCGATATAGCGCATGAAGTGATGTCATCGATTTCGTGCTTATAGGCGGTATTATAGTAAAAAGTGTGCGTGCCATTCATCTTGAACTTTCGTGTGTTGTAAGTATAATCGATATAGATTGCGTAGTTATAAAAGGGGTTTGAGTTTTTTTAAGGTCTTTCCTACCTTGTATATTGACCAATTATATATTCTGTATTTGAACACGCAGTGTGAAATTAAATGTACCTATAGTTTGATTTGGCAATTATTAAATTAAATACAAAGCATAAAACCTGTGGACGCCAATTCAAAGATACAAACTAAATCGACTATGTAAAGAGAAACATTGTGAAATGCTTATTTTTTTAATTTAAGTTTAAAAAAGTGCATTCGACAAAAACAAAATTCACAAATATTGCGATCCTAATCTTGTATGGATGTACTAGAATGAATTAAATAGTGAGCAATGCAGGGTTCGACATTAATTCACAGAAAACATCCAGCTTTATTTAGATGTCTTATGTCCAAGTGAAAAGTAAAGATTTCATGTAGTATTTTGGAGTATTTTAACAAACGAAATAGTAGACATAACGATGCCACAACAAGTTGATGTTTTATCAAAAATTTTACCCAATTTGCTGTTAAATTTGTTTTTGGGATAAAGGAGAATATATCACTACTATGGTTTTTTCACTCACACACATTACATGTAAAAAACGCCACCTGGCGGCAAATGTTGGCTAACGCATTCACTTCCGCTACTGGCTTGTTAAATGTTGTCAAAAGTAGCCGCATATCACGTCTTTACATTTTTTTTTTTTAATTACTGTTCTTATTTCCTTGCACTTACTGTCTGGTTAATCGTTAACTGATGTTTGTTTCACATTGCCTTATTCATTAATGTTCTATGTACAATCCAAATTGTATTTATTTTGGCTTCCATAAATATGTACTTAACGTATGGGTAATAAGGCCTAAAAATTTTATAGTAGGCCTAATTATGCTTTTAGATATATATTTTTTAATATTTGCACTATATTCAAATTATTTCAATATATTATACACTAGCTTTCCGCCCGCAGCTTCGACCGCGTGGAGTTCGGTTATATCGCGTTTCCAAGAGAACTTTTCAAAAGTCTGGGATAAAAACTATCCTATGTTATTTCTCAAGGTCAACTCTATCTCATAATCTATCTATCGGGAAAATATCTCTATTTGTTAGCATTACAAGACTTAAGAAAACTGTTGAAAAATTTTTAGGGATAAAAGGCGGACACTACGAACCACAAAGGACTAAAACGAAAACGAAACACTAAAACTGGACTGAACCACAAAGGATTTATTGTAGTTCGTCCAGTGTTTGGTAGTGATCACAGAATGTGTGTTAATAAAATTTATTTACGTTACCATTCCACTGATTGTAAAGGTGTCACAATTTGGAGCGAAATAATAATAATTTATTTTTATGTTGTTAATGTTGGAAGATTAAAAAAAGACTGAGTAAAAACTAAAAAGTGAAATAAATCAGCTGATCAAGTATTTTAGATTTTTTTATGTTAAAGATGGCAAACGAGCAGACGGCCTATCTAGGGGGGGGGGGTAGTAGCTAGCGTCACCTATAAGAATCCGCAACATCTCTGTTGCGGATGCGTTGCCAATCTTGGTTTTTTAGGAATAGGGAAAGGCTGCCATAAGGGAATGTCAGGAAAAGGTTGGAATAGGGGAAGAGTAATGGCACTCTCACTCATTGGACGAAACTTATCCATTAAAGGCTACTTCACGCCGATCTTCTGTGAGAGGGTTGTACTTAATCCTTGGTTGAGCCAGCTCATGTTCGATCTGCAGTTACATAACTAAAACTAGGATCTAACACCAAACATTTTAGTGAAAAATTACTGAAAACGTTCACAAGGTTTGTTGAACAGATATTATCATCCTTTTGGAAGTTGGCCAACGAAAAACAACTCACTTTATTGATGAAGATTAAAATACACAAAAATTTACTGGACTTGAAAAGTGAAAATTAAGAACCGACGGTCAATCACGTTTTTGAGGCTTTGATGGAATCCGAAATAAAAAGAAAATTATTAAATGATAAATAATTTCTTTTGCTTATTCTCGAAGCACATTTTATCACTTAACCTGATCCAAAACTGAAACATTCGAGTAAAACCACCTTAGCTAATTAAGAGAATATTATTACAAATGATTTTTTCCAAAATATTTATAATTTGTTAAAAAAATATGGTATTCGAGTGGATTTTTCACCTCCTGTTTTTGAAAATAAAAATTGTCATTTTTCCAAAAATTGTAGATACGAAATAAACAAAATTATAAAAAAATTAAACATAACACCCCACTTTAACCCTCTAAGCAATATTTGTATATTTGATCGGTGCCATGCATAAACATTTTCAATTGGCGTCTTTTAAAGTTTATAATCTATGATTTATATGATTGGTCGGTGACGTAATTCATTAAATATTTCGTTTTAGATTCAACCAAGTGGCGTGCTATGATTGGTTACTTTAATGTTTTTGTTATTATTCAGTAGATGGCACTTTTCACTACATAGACTTAATACTCTGACGGAAGATGTCGCTATTAACAAAATGGTAAACTTATATAAATTGTAAAAATCCTGACGATACAGTTGTGACAAAATAATTTTGTGACAAGATGAAAATCAAACAAGCAAAACCTTAACTTTACATCTATTATTTAGGTTTAAATTACAAATTTAGATTTTTTCATTGTACATATTGGGATCAGTTGGTGTTATTAGATAAATATTTTGGATAGAAAACGTTTTATTTAAAACACACAATAGTGTTTAATGCTACCTTACTCTATTAATGATTTGATACTGACAATGATGTAATTAAGCGTGTGACTTTATAACAGATGGCTCTGTGTTGCGCTACGTAGTCGTTTCTCCGTTTGTCAATAGATGGAGAAAGTAACCATTGTATGTTTGACACATTGCTTGATTCGAAATATGTTGATCCAGCTACTGCCCTTTTTAACATTGGTATCCAGTTTAAAGGAATCAATTTTTTTGTTTAGGAATATTAAAATACTGTTTTTTTATTATTGTATGTGTACTGTTTATCGGATTAAGAAAACAATTAACACTGGTAAGTTTGTTTAAAGTTATGTATCATGTCAGTTATTGTATGTTTTTGTGTTGTCTTCTTATCCTTAACTTGAATAGAACTTTTCTTCATTCTATAAAAAAAAAATGTAATTGGAGCGAAATCAGTAAAGGCAAACGCTTTAATAACTTATACTTTCATATGGTTTATTTGTTTGAATAATTAAAACAGGAACGTCAAAAATTATCATTTGAATAATTCTATTTACGTATTTATTTTTAGTTTTTCAAAATGACTATGATAGAGGTGGATCCAAACTTGTTTATCAAATGTCGCCTGTGTTTAGAAGAGACAGGACAATACCAGATTGTGCCAAAAGTTCAGATGCAAATAAAATATTGCTTTGAAATTAATGTAAGTTATATGTGACTATGTATTCTTATTTCATAATTCTATTTAATCTAAGTACCTAGTAATACAAATCCCAATTTACATTACCAATATAATATAATACAAATCCCTGTTCAAACGGGTATTAGGTGTTTTAATTTTATATTGTATTGTTTAAACCATAATTAAAATGATGCTTTATTTGATATATAGGTTGAACCTTTTGATGGACTTCCTCAACTTTTATGTAAAAAGTGCGAGTCAATCTTGAGTCAATATGCAAATATTAAAAAGATGTACCAAGAAAAACAAAACAACTTTATGGAGAAAATTAAAACTAATGTAAGTACTCATTTATATATAATAGAGTAATTGAACATTTTAATAGTTGACTATAACTTATAAATTAATTATGGAACATCAATCATGTTTTAAAGAATCTTTTTCTATAAATAAATACATCATCTCGCCTTCTACCGGTAAAGTTTGAAAGAGATTTCAATTCCATTGGACTTCTATAATTTTATTTGTTTACTTACATGTAATATTATGCAGAAAAAATACAAGAATAATTTTAAATTATACATATGTGTCTTATTATAAAATTATTTTATTTTATAAATGTTCTCTGACAATTTCTCGATGAAACTGAAGGAAGGAAAAAAATGTAAAAGTTGTGTTGCCCAGTGTCAACTACCATTAAAACTTTAGGTTCTCATAGAAGTTTAAAAATCTGACCAAACCTTCAAATAAAAGTTATGACTTATGTCTTGAAGCTTTGCAAAACTAAGCTAACTAAGCTAAGAAATTTGGTTTTACTGCGCCTAGACAATAAAGAATAGGATTCACAGTGTAGTCTAAGTCCTTAATAAGATTTTAAGTCAAAGGTTTAATGAATCCTAAAGTTGTTATTTGTTCTTCGGACTCACATTTCTAAAGCAATTCTAAATGTTTTCTTAAATATTGTATATGTACCTTAAGTGGTTATGAAGTAAATGCTTTATCTAATAGTATGAACATAGTCACCATCAACCAGACAAATGCGACAACTGAAAGCACGAAAACTCGTTTGAAACTAACTTCGGTTTAAAATAAGTTTTCATGGTACGTTGATATTACCATCTTAAAGGACTTTAGAGGCTTAATAACATTTTTTTATTTGGATAAGTTAAGAACGAAAACGTTAGTGATACTAGTATTGCATATGGAATTAAGGCATAGAACTAGATTTATTATGTGCAAGGAGTTAAAAAGCATGTCTCTCAAGCCTCTTTAAGGAGAAGCCAAAACCTAGCGATGCTCGTACGAACTAAAAGTACCTCGGATTATTATTAGGCACTATTACGAAGCAGTAGTCATACGATTTAAAGCCGCATTAGCAGTCATTAGCAGTTCCAACGTCCAAGAGTCTAGATAGCATGAGGCATCAGGAATCTTATCATATTGAGATTCGTCAGATCACTAGGCAGTAGTTACATGATCCAAAACCACATCGAATTTTAAGGAGTCACATTTTCCAACGTCCAAAAACGTAAATACTACACATCAGGAATCTCATCATATTTGGAAATTTTAGTGTTACTGATTTCAAGATGTTACATTATAAGCCAGTGTATTGTAATTATGGCTCTTACCGTTCCTTAACAAACCTTGTTATTGTTATAAAAAAAAAATAACCTCCTAGACGGAACCAAAGAGAGGTTTTTTGGCGCCAATGCTGTGTTCTTGTATAGATACGAATTGGGTTAACTTACTATTATTACAAGTCGGAGTGATCGGTCCTTTTCGAACCTTAGCGTACAAGCATATTCCTTGGTCCCATAGATTGAAATATCCAGAATATAGACACAATATGCAAGAACACTATAAGGTTGGCTTTTCTACGGTTGAACTACATATACAAAACAAAGTACGCTAAAGTCGAGACTATGTTACTAACAATTATGAGTAATTTTTTATTTTTATAAGTCTTAATAAGTTAGTCTAGTAACAGCCGCTTAAACAATTACGTAATTTGTATACATTTTACAAAATTAGAATCCAATGACCAGGGTATCCGTTTATTTCTGAAATATGAGGTCGTCTTACGTACTTGGGCCATACTCTTTACTTGTATTTCATTCGTTGCCTTGCCTATATATTTGCCTATATATATCATTTCAATAATAAACATTGAAATTTCTTTAAAAACTTGTTTTCTAGTTTCTCAGTATAAGTAATTTCTCTTTTTTTCTGTGACAGCCAAATAACCAGCCAAATAGCCAAGTACCCACAGAAAGTATTCCATCGCCTAAGGAGAACAATAACATTCAACAACAGCAAGATACGGTTTCCTCTACGCAACAAATAGATATTGTGAAGAATGATCTTGAACCTAGCAAAAAAGAAAAACCTAAAAGAAAGTCATTATCTCTTAAATTATCTAAGAAAATGTTTTTAAAGGAAGATGAATCCCTTGATAATAAATGTGAAAATTTGTGTCCCAATGAGGAGAACTCCAAAACAAACAGTTTTTCAACAAAGAAAAGATCCTCTTGGAATAGTGACTACTTTAAAACTTTTGTCTGTAAAATATGTTCTAAAGTGTATAAAGATAAGAGAGACATGTTGTCTCACATGAAAAATCATGAAAGTCTTATTATGAGTCATTCAAATATTTTAAATTCTCATTTGGATATAGCTATTAATAAAATAGACAAGACCCCAAATATAACTGGAAAATCGAAATATGTTGTTTTCAGTGAAGACAAAGTACTAAAAAGCGAACATGCATTGTACTATATCGTATACATTGCTAAAGTGAAGAGAGCCAGGTCACCGTCATCCTCATCGGATGATGATGTAGTTGGTAGAAAATCAAAATATAAACGACAGAGGTTTATTTCTGAAGATTCTAACACCTCGGCCACTACAGAAGTTATCGAGGGAAATATAACTTCCGCTGATGTTGAGATAGAAGATGAAAAAAGTGAAACAAATGATAAAAATGATAAGGATGAAAAAATATCGGATGAGAATGTCGAATGCGTTAATATTAACGTTGACGAGACATCAAAGGAAAGTAGTAAGGAAACCACATCTAGTAAAGAGAAGCCAGCGAAGAAAACACCGCAAAGAAATAAAATGACGATTAGTGATATTATAACAGGGTGTCAAAATAAATATTTAAATAGGCATGACACGTCCAAAAATGTATCAAAGTTACAAGAAAACATGGAATCTTTCCTACAACACAAATTTTTAAGTATAGGTACAAAGATAGTTCACAAAGGTCTTAACTCAACAGGGTTGTTGAGATATTTGGAGCACAAAGATCTTGACATAAATTGGTTACAAAGTAAGAATTCTCTTTCTAACATAATCATTAAAACTAAGTTGAAAGATACGAACACTGTCAGCAATACTGATAATCTCGCTTTAAAAAATATAACAGATTATATCATTGATCATCCTACTCGAGATTTTGTTGATGATTTTGAAAATGTATTAGGTGAAAAAGAAACCCCAGCAAGAAAAGATCCAGGCGACGCAAGCCCGTCTTCATCAACCGTTATCGTGTTAAATGATGATCAAACTGATAAATATATTAATAGTAATGTGACTTCAAAACTTAAAACTATACTCTCATCAAATAAAGAAACAGAAAATGAGGGGGAAGCTGTTTTAGTTTTACGGTCCACCCAAGAGACTGATAGACAGAATTGTACGAAAATACTTAACGCCAACCCAGTTGCTAATCCTAAACAATTACCCAACAAAAAGTCAAATACACCTATGCCAACAGAAACTGTGTCCGCTGTCGACGACATTTTGTTTAATTATAACAACGACGAATCAAAGATGCCGGTTATAACTTCGACGGTTTCGTTAGCAAATTACGACCATGCAAAACCTAGAGAAAAAAATTCCCCACCCAGGCCAGAGAATCCGCAGAAAACTGGCTCCGAAACAAATAAACCATGGATAAAAGTGAAGCCTGTGTCGGAACTCATGCCTATTCAGAATAAGCAAAAGCCAAGCGATCCAGTAGTTCAGACAGGCTGGACTCCTACTAGCTTCGTGCCTATAGCTCCCAATCCAAGCCAGGTGTATGTTTCTCAATATAGACCTTCGGAGCCGGCAAAAGTTTTGAGTTACCCTCAAACATTTGGTAGTGTTCAAAATAATAGAATCGACATTCCTGAATCAAACGCCCTATCTCGCAACAACGTGCCGACAAGGGTTACACAGGAATATGTTAATATGCATACGGTCGAGTTACCTAATACTAAAACCAACTCTCCGTTCAAATACTTCAAAGAATTACTCCAAATACACAATATTGTTTTACTCGATAGTACGGCGATAGTTCCGCACACTATGAAGTGTATTATAAAATTTACTTTAGGTTTCCAGCAAGAAAATAATGCTCCTGTGAGTCTTTCATTGACGTTATTCTATGATGGGAATATTTTTTGTATTAAAGTGGCGGACATGGCGCTTAAAGAAATAGACATATCAAAGTTGTCTGCTAACTGGCAATGGGAAATACTTAAAGTGTTCAAAAGTGATATCGTTAACAAACTTCATACAAACGCTCTTAAGCATGGCCTGCACATCAACGCTAAAGTTAATTATTTTGTAAGTTTACTCAGATCGATCGTATTTACCAAATAACCAATCATGTTTTCTATTTTTGTCATGTGTCTTGGAATAAAGTGGCGAGAGCTTTTGTACAGTCGAATGAGTACAATATTATGGTGTCTCAAAATTCTGATGCCATCATGAGTTCGGTCAAAAATATTTATGTGCCATCTCATTAAAAATATTTGGAGTGAAGTACAAAATATATCTTAGATTTAAAAAAATAATCCTGATCTAAAGAATATTTTTGGTTGGTCCATGATAACCTCTCTTGTATACTGTTAAGTATTTTTAATCTATGTTATAATAATTGTAAGAGAATTGTAACGTATTTTTTCATTGGTGCCATGTTCAAAACATGTCAAGTTAAATTGTTTTTGATAATACTTTAAACTATTTGTTGTGACAATACTCGTAAGTATTAAATTGAGGACTTAGCTATCATACTTTTTATGTGATTTGGTTCGTGTATATATTTGTTTATATTCGAAGTAAGGCTGAATTAATTATTGGATCTCATAAAATTAAAATGTGCTTTTGATTCAAAATTATTACATGTCACCATAATGTTGATTTATAAAACATGAATTAATTTCTATTCAACATAAGCTCAAGTTAAATTTCTATTAAGTTTAATTGGGTTAAAAAAATCAGTTCTTCTTACAATTAGTACTTTAGTATTTTTTTTATTCGTATGTGTATGTTTTTATGTAAAGATGTTAGATATTTTTGTATAAAATAAACAACTTTTTATGTAACATTTATATTTATTTCCTTGCCTAATACTAAGTTACTACTATTGTTATCCAAGAGTCCATATAGTACCAACATTTGTGAGGACTTCCTCCGGTGTTGAATATTTGTGAAACATGAAGTAGCCTTGTATTTGCGCTGGGCTGACATCTTTTTTGTAGTCCATAACTCTGTAATACAATACACATTACTTCAATTTTTTTTTCAAACAAAGATTATATAATACAAATTAACATCAATTAAATTTGAGTAAAAATAGGCTAAAAGCTTAATTCTCCTTAATTTTCGTATTCCAGTGAGGTGAGTCAGAGAATTTGTATAAAAATATGCCATTAACATTATAGATTAATTTGATTTTTTTTGAAAGAAATGCATACTTTTGAGCAAAGCTTTTAGCGTGATCGCCGGCATCTTTGTAGAATCTTAGAAACATGAGCTCTACTTGCGCCTGGTCACAGTACCCAACATATTCTTTCATATCAACTCTCCCTGGTCTAATCAATGCTGGATCCAATCTGCAAAATACGTGAAATATATATTTTTTCGAATTTTATACAAATATAATAAGGTTTAACCGTATCTGCTTTGATTTTTCTAATTTAACAAAAAAGCTACCTTTCTAAATAATTTGTGGTCATAAAAACGATCCGAGCTTCAGTAGATGCGACTCCATCCAAACAGTTTAGGAGCCCGCTAAAAGTAACTCTATTGAGGCCTTCGAATGCGGCTTTCTGTTTGGGAGTGTCTTCTCGGGAAACGAACGCAGCGTCGATGTCTTCTAGAAGAATTATTGATTGTTGGGGAGCTACACTGGAATATTCAGTATTCTTAATTTTAATATTTACATGAACTAAAATTCATGATATTTCCATCTGGCCTTTTACAAGGTTTGCTTATTTTATTTTAAATCTAGAATAGCTCTCGCACTTATGTTATGTATCTATTTAAAATATAATTCCAAAAGTTTTTTGTCTAACTCAACATTTACTTTCACTCACACAAATGCAAAGCTCAGCTTAAGTCTAAAGGACTATAATAGTAGACAAGAGTGCTGGGAAAAATTAATATGACAATAATTATAGTAAGTGATGATATGAAATATAATACATTGCAAAAAAAAAATAAGCCTTACTTAACATAATTCTAATAATGTTAATATGTCAAACATAAATTAATTGGTTGTTTGTTAATGTCACTGATCCCTTTCCGCCTACTATAAAATAAAACTATTATAAATATATTCAGGGCCTAAAACCTTTAAATGCATAAGGGATGATGATATAATATTTTATGTTATACTTTTATAAGAGAAATGAAAATGACAAAATAATATTTAACAGAACATTCAGCATTAGTTTTTATCTACATAATTATGTACAAATAAATCTAAATACCTACTAGACTATTGGACTGTGACTATGTCATTTTAATTACAACAAGATAGGTTAAGTTAGAAAATACCTCAGTAGATGATTGAGTCTGTCATCAGTTAGTCCTCTTTCAGATAAATTTAGAACACATATGTTATATTCAAGTTGTCCTGCTAAAGCTGTTATAAATGATGATTTACCACAACCAGGGGGTCCATATAGTAAATAACCTGGAAAAATATTAAACACAATTCCATATATATAACTATATTAAATTGCTTTTACAGTTTGTATATATTTGTTACTAGTTTAGCTCTTGAAGAAGTATAATAGAAATTATATAGATATATTTATGTATAGGAAAGAAAACAGTATTTTAATTCAATTTATTGCTTGGTACTCACCTCTTCGGTAAGGAATTCCTCTATCAGTATACCAGTTGGGATTGTCAATGAAGTCAAGACAGTCGGTAAGTATCTTTTCTGTGAGACCAGATCGCAGTATGACACTATGCAAAGGTCGTCGTTTCCGAGGATGACCAAAAGTTCTCCATTCGGATCCCATAGCTGTATACATGACTGTCATACCCTCATGCTGTTTGAGAGCCATAGTTCTAGCTGCAAATTACACTAACATATTATATAAGAATTTTATTCATAACACACTCAATCTCATATTATTGTTATTACTTTGTTAATAATATTAAATGAAATATTTGAATAAGTATATATGAATGTAACAAAAATTTGATTTAAACAGATTGCTTTCTATATTTTTCATTTATTTAACAATTTACAGAAGGGACCCATGCAGGATATGAACTAAAATTAATCATGGCAAAAAGCATACACCTACAATAATAGTATTCACATGATAATTATTATAAAAAATAATAGCAATTATTTAAAATAATAGTAGATAAATGTATTGAATAAAAAAAAATATGATTTTAATAGAAATACTTTTATAAATTAAGTATTTAATAGAATATAATGGTGATTATGTGAAAAATAGTATTAGTGTTGGCAATACATTTGTATAGAAAAAGGATAAAGTCATTTACCATCTTCAAGGATATTGTAATATATTTCTTTGTTGCGTCCAAAAGCGGTTAGTGTGACATGTTCAAATGGTATGCCCATGTGTAAATCAATGGTCTGTTGTTCTCTAGTTCTATCCACTCTTATCCATGTACCGCCATATCTGAAGTATTTAAAAATAATAAATAAAATACAAATCTTGACTAACAATGTGTAAATGTTTTTATTTTTATCATTATGGTCTTTAACAAAAATATTTAATTAGTACTGATAATATATTTATATGCATGATATGTTATGCAAGATGACACCTACAATTTGATGGTTTAAATTATAAAAAACTTTCCTAATTTATTAAATGTATTATGGATTATGACATCTATATACAAAGGTCTACATATAATACACCAAAACTTGTTAAATAGAATGTTATAAACCTAGATACATATGGAAATTATCATATTTAATTCTAAATAAAACAGGAATAGGTTATCATTATCTCAGTTTTTTAGTTTCACTTTTACAGGTCTGTAAGAGATTATTAATAAAAATACCTAAAGAAATGTTGGCCGACGCTAGGTATAAAGTCATATTTTGTTTTTATCTGTCCTGTATCCTTTTGTAAAAATGATGTTTCCACACTAAGATGTTGTGTTTGTTTTGCACCCTTTTGTGTGATCCAATGTAACAACCACTGGTAGGACTTGTCCCGACACGGTACCTCTAGAGTTATCATACAATGTCTTCGAAATAGGATCATAGACGTTTGGAATCCTTTCCTTAAAATAGCCGCTCCCGCACCAATTCCAAACAAGCCAAAACCAGCCCCAAAGTATGGGTTTTGTGACAAAGACGCCACATATTCTGTTAGTGTCATTTTTCTATATGATTTTTATCTTATTATATGCATTAGTTTTATTATTTTTCAGTTAAAATGTTACACCACAACTTCTGTATTCTCATAATCGTCTGTCAAATCCTAGATCATTGATGACAATGACATTTGAACAGCTGATTCTGACAATGATGTTTTTATTGTTTAGTGTTACTATATAAACATTTAAAATTAGAAAACAGTAGACATGAACTGAAACAAGAGGGCAGATATCCACTTTTCAATCACAAATATACTTTATAAAGCTTATTTGAAAATAAATACTAACTTAAAGTTTTCGAGAAATCAATATTTACTACTATATACTAATTATACTAACATTCACTTTTTGTTCAACCTATAGTTATAAATTAATTTTATATAAATGTTTTAAAAATATCAATAAAAGATTGAATCCTGATTGAAATATGGACAGAATATCAAGAAGAAATTAAACTAGAGAACAAATCTAGTATATATTAATAAAATAAGAGATAAAAAATATTGGTTGATGAAAAGTTGGTCTGTATGATTTTAGCGATTTACTCAATGAAGTAAGTTAATCTTTAAAAAGTGTGCTTCATGGTTAAATATCATTGTTTCTCAGCATTTCTGTATGTACGTGTTTTAGATATACGAAGATTTTATTGCTTTTTTTCCATAGAAATTAACGTATCTTCAGAAAAAACTTTCTAAATCAATGAAAATATAAAATAACGATCATAGGGACGATTTATTAAGAGATAACCAACGCAAATAAGTGATTAATTTTTACAAAAGAAGTTTTAACACAGAGTCATGTTTAAAATTAAAGCATAATTGTTCATTTTTCCGTCATGTTCACGAGAAGTTTTTCTTAAAAACCCCAAATATAGTCCCCTGTCATATTTTTATTATGTATTTCCCAAATTCCATTATATTGGATGGAACAATTCCCTTTGGTCTTTGGAATAAGCTGCCATATTACCTATCCTTTTAATTCAAATGATAATGTAGCCAAACAAAATGTATTTTTGGGACATCTTACTCTGATGGTGAAAAAACTTTTTATAGATGGTGTCCTTGAGAAGGTAGTTGAGTTTCCAAAAGAGACAATGTTGACACAGTTGTGATATAAGATTGTGATCTCAAAGGAAGGACTAGATTTTATCGTTGTATTTTGTAATGAAATGTATCAACTATAACAATGTATAAACCCTACATAGATTGGTTTTTAAGAAATACTTATTACTATAAAAATCTATGTAAATAAATCTCTACTCATCATCCACATTGTATTTGAATAAGCTTAATGACATCTATGGATATTTTTCTTCATTTTTAAAAGATAGGACATTTTTCACTAAATTTGAAATTTTCTTTTACTAGCCGAAACACTGTCTGTGTCCATCTTGTCGTTGAAAACATGCAATAATGGTATTATAACAAGTTGGACCAATATACATATAATTTATTAGACGAACAACTAACTTTTTATATACCTATTACTAATATAAATATTGTCGTCCCGTATTAAGAGAACAAAATTTCAAAAATCAATAAAAAATGCTTCCAAAATAATTACTAAGGAACGGGTCTTTTTGTTGTAACAATCACCCTATTACCCGTAATTTTTTTTTGGTCGGCAATATTTTCAAGTATCTTTGATCTTGGTATTTTAATATCACAGAGTCAATTGCAATGAACTGAGTGGCTCCCCATATAAAAGTTCCACGCGCTGCGGGTCACGCGACCCCTATCGTCAGCTGACGTTACATCGTCTTAATTTATTGTTTGAGTTTTTCTCCAGTCATAAATAATGAAATTACACAATGGCAGACTATTATACGGCCATGAGCTGTAAAATACTTCTGTGGTCATATTGTTTATTTATATCTATTACATAATACAAATTTTAAATTTTTATATTACCTTACCTTACCTTATACAGGAAAAAGAACATTTGGGAATGTGAAATGTTACATCCACTAAATTAAATAAATAGAATCTAAGACTTTTTCGATTATATATTTAAATAAAACCACCATCTTGGACTAATTCGTTCAATATATGTTTGGATAGATACCTACATAAAAATTAAAAGAAAACAAAAATCTATATGGCTGTGTAAATCGTATGTTATGTATGGTTAGTATATAACTAGACGAAATGTATCTTAAAATATTGACACTTTACTTGTGCCTTCTTTATAATAAGTTATCATATATAACTGAAGCTTCTCGTAAGTTTGTGCATCAGACAGATATTTCGGAGTATTGCAAACGCAAAGTCGCACCTTCCGTGTTTTTAGGACAGCGTATCATGGACGTTAATTCTTATGTTATTCAATTATCTCGTCTAGATGTACCGTATAGCTGTTCCTTCAGTGTAAGGTAAGAGAATTTCATGTCTTGAATCCTACAGATACTAAATTGTTTCGACGATATTATTTTAAAATCGACGTTTTTTCGAAATTTTCGTCTCCAAGTAGGCGTAGACTGAATACAGTTTAAATAATTTAGCTTTTATCATTTATAAACTAAGTGATGATTATGATGCATGAAATGCATATGTGAAGTGTTGGCTACGATTTGGCAGTATCATTTTGTCCCCAAGCTTTTATTTTTTAAACATATGAAATTTTAAAAAAATGCGCTATTGGGGTCAGTTGATACACATGCAAATAATACATTAAATACTAAAAAAACATGTTTTATTTATTTACATTCCTTCGTTTTTCTTTCTATGTTAATTTTTTGTTTTTTATCTCTTATAAATTATTAATTAACAATAAAGAATGACCTTTATAAATGTTTCGTTAATATAGAGCAGAATCAGGTTCCAACATAATTTTGGTTGTTCAACTGCCGTCAGAGGAAATTTTATTCGAGGCCTGTGCCTTGAGTGGTGAACAATTAGTTGTTTATGAGTTCGGGGAAACTTTCGGCGGCTACTATGGACTGATACCGAGAGCACTGATCCATCAACCCACTAAGAATTACACTCAGTTTTACACGGTAAAAACAACTAGACCACCAACACTAAGGTATTATAAATTTTATTATTTAATCTTTGTAAATAAATGTTCAAAAAGCACGACAAGTTATTTCTGTAATTAAGATATTTTGTCACCTAAATATAAAAAAATAATTTCTATCGTTCAGAAACTTATACCAATTATTTCAAAAAAATAAACTCATTAATCAATGTAATGCTCTCATAACATCTTATAATCGATGAATGTATGTATGTCAAAGGATAAGAGATAATAGCGTGTAACTTATTTCTCATAATTTATACTATAACAAATATTAACCTGACTAAGAGTTTTAGAATTTACAAAACTTTTGCATGCATATTTAAGTACTTATAAATGTATGTAACTAGTAAAATATTAATAAATTATTATAGAACTCGCAGACGTACAACAACTAGAGAGTTGATTTTAACGCAAACAGAAACACAAAGTACGGTTCAAGAGGAGCAATTTTATACAATAGAAGTACCCATAGTGAATGTCTCCGGAAACTTCCAATTAGGGCCGCAGCGTGAAACGCAAGACTCTGACGAACTCTTCGATTTCATTTATGACGTCACTCCTAGGTACCAAATAACTTTATATGTTTCGTCTATATAGTAATATATGAAAATTACCATTCATTAATTGAGAATATTTTCAAATTTCAAAAGAAAAGGTACTGATTATGAAACAAGTATAATGCCGCTGGTACAGTTTTCATTACGACCATATACTAACAGTTACGGTGGTCCTGAAGTCCGCTATGATCTCGACTACCGCGTCAGAGAATTCACATTGGATCCTCGGTAAATATAAAGAATTGATTACTTTATACGCACACGTGATCAAAAATCTATAAAAATTATAGTATCCGTTTGTGATATTAAGATTGCTGCTTTTTAATAAATGTATAACAAGAACTACACATACTTATATATTTTTTATTATTTTTTACTAGTCTGTTTACTTGTTTCGATAAATTTTTAATATGAATTTATTTATTTAAAAGGAATTGTCTCTAGTAGACTGTTGAAATAAGACGTAATTTAGGATTTTTTAATTTAATAATAATTATATTGTAAGAGATTAAATGCTTCCTATAAATGATTTTAGACTATTGTTCAATACTGCCAAGAAAAAGAAAACTTCCAGGAGGAAAGATTGGAAAGCGAAGAAAATATATCGTCACAAAATGAAAAGTACCGCCATGTTTTTAAGACCTAACTCTGCAAATTATAAAATGAAGTACGATATGTTTTTCATAAATAGTTTACTATTCAAATTATTTTGATAAATTTCTGTACTATTCTTTTTTCAAGGACAACAAACGTAACAGGTTGCGTATTAGACAAATAAAACAATTTACAACAGGTTACAATTAAGACAATTTATTTACTCCTCAGGAAAAGCTATAATGGTAGAATTCAAAATATTTAGCAGATATATACAAAAAGAGTGTCCTATATTTCAGATTGATTACGGATAGTCCATTCATAACGAACACAGAAACTCATGTGCCTACTATACACTCAAAATATTATACAGATTCACGTCAACTGCTTCATAGTATTATGAATTCAATGAACACAACTACTATTAGAAGTACAATTTTCCAAAACGAAAGTCTCCGCGACCTTTTGAGTGCTATATCTAATATAAATCACAACTCTAGCGGTAAGGATTATTATAATTTATTTTTTTAATGGAGCAACATTCCTTCTGAATACTGGCTAGCAAATTCAACTAAAAAAAATGATTTATTAAGTTCTACAATAAATATTATGTGAATGAAATATTTTAATCTTAATAAAATCTTTGCACAAAACCTCTATTTTCAGTATATTTAGCACCAAATATATCACTATATAATAGAAAGGAAATATTAACAACAGAAGACAATAAAATACAACCGTCTTTAAATTCAAATTCTCTTGAAGATACGTCGGGTACAATGGCATCAAAGTAAATGAAAATAAATATATCATAATTTATTAAATATAATAAAAATTATGTTTAATTACAATAATATTTTTAGAAAAATCAAATTTGAAACAACAGTTACTTTAGAAAAGAAATTTGAAACAAAATCTAGCTTGGAAATGTCTTCAAGTCTGAACGAATTAAATATCAATTCAGAACCTATGTTTGCCACAGAAGCATATAAAACAAGTGATTTTATATATACAAATAAGGAACTGCTTGAAAATAATAAGAAAAATATTATGGACTCTATTATAAAGGAATCTAATATCAACAGTGTTAAAGGTATGAATATTATTTAATCCCTTCCCTAATCTAAAAATTTCCTAATCTAAAAAAATTTAGGAATTCTGACCTGAACTTGTTTAATATTAAAGTAATATTTTAAAATAATGTTACCAGCTACTTCATACGTAAATACGTTCTTTTTATTTTCTTGAAAGGTCCAAATATATGTTTGTATATAAAATAAGAAATGTAAACTCAATATTAATTTATTTTTGTTTCTCACATTTTTATTTTGTTTTTTCTTCTGGCTAATATATAAACGTGTCACTAGTTATGAATTTATATAAGCAATGCAATAATGTTATAAACTTTCAAAATTCGTGTCACCCAAAAACTCTATATGAATATATTTAAACAGACGCAAATTTTATACATTTTTATACTAATTTAGCAGACCTTATTGGAAACAATTTAAATTATTATAAAATTTGCAGAAAATATAACTACAACAACTATCTCTAATAATACATATCGCGACCCAACTAGAAGATCCTTGTAAGTCCATAATATTATAATTTTAAATTATTTTGTCTTGTCTTTATAATGTATTTTCTTATTAAGTGAAAAAGGGGCGTTGGTTGGTCATGAGTCATGGGAAAATATAGTTCAAGTTGCGCCAGTGATGGCCGTTGTGTTAAATAAAACCGATAACAATGACGTCAAAGAAAGGTTTGTAGGTTGATTTTCCGGTTATTAAATAAAAATTATAAATAAATTATAACCAAAGCAGTATGAACTATTTTTATCGTATTCTGAAATTTAATAGCAAATCTTTTTTAATTAAATATGATAATAAAGTTATTCTAAATAAGGAAAAAGCGTCACATACAATCGCTGGATGTAGAAGATTCTATGCCAAGGAACTTGACCAGGAAACCAATGATGAAGACCAAAGCGCCGGTCCTCGATGACGTACAGGAACTCGTTAGGATTGTTGAACTACAAGATGACGAGGTAAGGTCTATCCAGACAGTAGTTCTTTACAAAAAATGTCTGTGAAATATGATGTTATTTATGAAAACAATAAGCGTATTATATGGATTAACAAATATTTTTATTTCAGTAGTTAAGACTTGTTGTAGGTCCTACTTTATTCCATACATTCACTGTGAAGTTTTTTTTATGAAGTTACTATAATTAATTAACAAAATTAAAATAACTAAAATACATTTATAATAATAGTAACAATATTTTTTTGTTCACGACTTTCTTAATCTTTAATTTACTGTGGAGTATGGATTTTGATATTAGAGATTTGGCTTTTAAATAGAATATTGTGTTTTAGCACCATAGTTATCTAGATCTAAATATTTACAAAGGTTTAGTATTAGAAGTTTTAGTTTAGTTTAAGAAATCGTGCAAAATGTACATTTCAAACAAAAGCTTTGTATAATGAAATTGTTATTTATTATACATATTTATGTTAGATATTACATATCTTAAAACAATTACATATTTAAACTGTTTTTACATTACCAAAAATATTTTAAATTTTATATATTAAAAATAAAATTGTAAATACAGATAGGAAGTCGTGTAGTACTTCGTTACTTACGCCACTACGTAGGACCATCGCTATTCAATTTATGCGACTACCGCGAGTCTAACAAACGGCAGATATTTCTCTTCAATTCTTCCAGAATCGTTATATCGATCAACAATTTCACGGTAAGGATGAAATATAATATTGTTGCCATATATAAAAATTAAGAGTAGATTATATCATGTTTATTAATTATTACCTACTATCCTTGTCTATAAAAAGTAATAAAGAGAATTATCTTAAATTTATATTTCAAGTCAAAAATTATATTAAAAGCTGTTAGAATCAGCCTATAACATAATTTTTGGCTTGTATTATAGAGCTACTAATTCATATATCGATTATTTGTATGCATTTTTTCTATAGCATATAAAATTTAATATACAGCTAGATCAAATGATGTTGGTTCTGACACCAGCTCAAACCCTCATGAGTGGAGCGCCGCGGTGTCCTTCAGATCAGCTCGAGTGTCAGATAATCGGCACTAGAGTATGTATCGACTCATTGAATAGTTGCGATGGCGTCCCTAATTGCGGTTCCAATGGTATGAAATATTACTATCTATTGAATCTAAAAAAGGAATACCTTGCTTATAAAAATAGTAGTATTTTATGAATTTAAACACAAAATATCAATATACACATATATTTATTTGTTAATACTTTCATTCATTATATTAGGTACAGTACAATATAAACAAATTATTACATAACAGTATGAGTAATTTGCTTCTTCAATCTAAAACTGAATGTTTTAAGTTGTTTAAATATAACTTAATTACAAAAATAGATTTAAAACATCCGTTCTTAAGGTTGAAAATACAAAAAGGTACAGTAATATAGTTATAAATTATTCTTATAATACAGAGATTTACGATGAAGATCGTCTAACTTGCGGCACCTCACATGGAGTTGAACATAATGTTTGTATTGCTGCGTTCACCTTCCTCGCTGTTATACTAACACTGTTGTATATAACCTCGTACTGGCTGAAGCGATGCGTGCCTCGAGTATCAGACGCTTTCTTTATTTACACCGAGTCCTCTGAAAATGAGTTAGTTGATTCTTATATTACATATAACTATGCTCATCATTGACCTAAAAGCTGATTACTTATAAAATAATAACGGCGGCAAACATGAATGAAAATACTCGAAACTATTAATGTTTAAGTTCATGACGAAAACATGTCAAAGCTTTAAGTAATTCCATTATTTAGTAATTGTTTTCACGATATATATATAAGAAATAAAAGGATTAACTATTAATCTTTCGTCCCTAGTCTCCACGTCGTCTAAATAATATTTTTTTTTCAGGCTTTTCTTAGAGTCGGTCATGCGTTCTCCAAATGACAATGATGATGATCCATTCAATAAACACGTGTATCCAGGACATTACTTTGAAGACGATGTTTTTTATGAAGATATTTTACATGCAGAGAAAAATAAAGGGAATTTCTGTACGAGAGCAATTAGGGCTTGTTTGAGGATCCTGCATTGTTGGGCAAAGTCACCTGATAACAAAATCGCTACCGAACAGTCTACGAAGAAAGAACCGGCGAAATTGTTTTCGTTTACTCAATTAGAACTACAGAAAATCACAAAATCGGCCGTCAATGAAAAAGCCATGCAAACGAGTGATAATGTTGATATGAAACAATTAGATGAAGAAAAAATAAGTGATCCGTACAGTTTCAATTCATGGTCGAAACTCAGAAAAGATTCTATGAGACACGACAGTGAATTAAACTTATTAAGATTCTCAAAAGAATCGAGAACATTATCACAAAACGATTCGTTTTCTATTGACAACGAAAATGATAATAGGAAAGACGTTAAACATATAGATGGGGAACTAGAGATCAAAAATACTATTTACGAACTTCATACACCTAGAGAAGGTAAGAAAATACCAGTGACATGTGAAGTACACGCAGAAAATAAAGGAATGACTGAATCAAAACGTTTACGATTTGATGAACAACTTCAATTGATACCGAGGGTTGAAGACAAGGACTCCGTAGTGACCACTAGTACGCTACAAAAACTACACGATGAAGATTTAGATAAAATAGAAGATGAAGAGAATGAAAGCTTCGGGAGAGACTTCATGCGTTTCTGGGGGGCGAAAGGTAAAAAGACCAGAAAGAAGAAACATTTACCACTACGAATATGATCTCGTAAATTATTTTATGTTTATAAATATATAATAAATAAATGAAATGATTTAAAATGTTTCTTATTAAAGACACTATTCGCTTTTAAATGGTTATTTAGTCTAATATTCATCACATACCTATAAGGCACATATGTATAAATATTTTGTTCTTAATATTTGTAACAGAGTATTGTTTTTGACTTACTAACATTAATATTAATGTAGTTGTGAGCAATGCCATCTAGTAACATTAAATATGTGTTTACAATAATTTAAATAGGGAATTCCATGAATTAGTTCAACACTCATCTGCCCACGTCATAGTTCAAGACATTCGCGCGCCTGTGCGCCATTTCCTAATTAACACCAATTGTGGACCGGACAGCACACGTGCCAAAATGTATGCTGTGTCTTTTTAAGGATATTTTGCAATTGCGGACACATGTAATACATAATTAGCCACTAATTTCAATTAAGGTCCGTTCACACTGGTTCATTTGTTTTTTTTTTTATCCAAAAAAACATTAAATGTTTTAACATCGTTCAAAATTATATTTATGTTAATTTGAACCATTATTTTCAGTTTCGTCGTTAAAATGAATATCAGTATTATCTACTAGTTAAAAAAATGCTATTATAATACTTGTATTTATTAAGCGTAGTGTTATCCTTGTAAACGATTGTGTAATACGGTAGACGAAACACAAACAAGTGGCTTCTCTTTATTGGGTTCATCTAGGGGCACTGACGTATATCATAGCTTTTATGTCAACTCCAAAAAAGATAGATGTAAAAGTGTCAAGCTAGAAGTGGGAGCCGGTGCGCGAGGTCATTTCAATTGAAATCAATTAAACCAATTGGCTTCAATTGAACGGGCGGCAGATTCAGCGTCGCTTCGTCCACAGAAAGATTTTATGTGAAGCGCCTACGCTCAGTCACATGACTCACGTTTCATTTACTGACATTGTCATGTTTACTCATGAATTTAAGTTACACAGAACTTTTGTTCACTTGAATTCTAAAGTCAACTTAATCATACTTTGATATGAAATAAGAAAGGAGTTGTCTATAGCCTGTCTATGGATGATTATTATAACTGAAGGGAACTGAATATTTTTTTGTTTTTTTTTTTTTTTTAACAAGAAAGTAAATTAAGTATATCATAAAATAAGTTTTTGATCATCTTCCTCCAATTTTAATAGTGAATTTTAAATAGCTAATTGATTGGGAAAACGGTTCTCTATAAAAAAAAATATTTATACGCTAAAAAGGAATTTGTGTGTTATGATCTAGGTTAATTAAAAGTCCTAATAAAATATAATAAAATTAAAAATGGGTCACGAAAATTTAAGCGTATAAAAAATTACTTAACTGATATCAAGCTGTACATAGTGATCGTACTTTAAGTTTATAATACATTTTTAAATATGCTTTAAAACATACACTATTGTTGAAAAACAATAGCGTGTGTTACCCCATAAAAGTAAAGGGTAAAAACCAAACGCTTCCTTATAAAATAAGTAACTCTATTTGTGCAGGAAAATATCAAATCGAGAAATAATATAATCTCGCAGCTGTATCTAAAACTTACATTACTTAATCAAGCAACAAATGATTCGAAGAAAAGAATAGCCGGTAGCGTTCAGACATGCGATTGATAGCTTGTGTTATGCGGGTTCAATGTATTACAGTACCTTAAGTTTATTCGGCTACGATTGACGTTTATTTTTAACAAAATTTGAAACATGAAAACCGTTACTACCCTTTATTTTTGCCATTAAGATTAGATACCGGTCACTGTTTAAAATATGTATTTAGATCTGGGTCGAAAGCTGAATGGAATAAATCTAACTTAAATTATCATAAAGGATAAATTTTGGGAGATTTATATATTTTTAATATTTTTTTAAGAAATATTAGTTTTCCTAACATATGTATTTATAGACCTTATCGCAGTATTTATAAAAATTATATATTGCAATAAGAAAACTATGGTGACTGGATTTTGCTTTACTAATAAAAATTCACATATAATGTACTCGTAAGTTGCTCGAAATAAATTACAAACTCATTAGTCACAAAATTTAAAATCAAATATTTTAACAGTAACATATTAAATTGTCCGACAAATTGAATATGCACTCATGAGATAAGTTGCATAACTACAAGTTATCCTAAACTTGAATTCAAAAATAACACACTACATGCAAATGTTAATAAAATAATTACAAATATAAATAAATAAAAAATTAGTAAATTGATAGGTATTTCGTTTGTGTTTTCTTACATTCTATTTTAATAAATAAGTTAGAATTAATAAAACTGCACTATATTTTATAATATTTATATTAATGCAGTCTCTTTGTAATTATGTAGTGTTATTTTTTCATTTACTTTAAAAACATATATAAATATTTGTGGTGTTAGATTAGAGATTTGATAATAATATACCTATAGGTATCTATGTGACTACAACCACATGAGTTAAACATATAACAGGAATTAGACGATTTATTTCGTGTCCTCTCCATACCATGTGTAATTTTTAAAATATATTTCGTACTTCTTTTGGAACTTTAATTTATTTTTCTGTAGATTGTTTATGCTTTGAATTAATCCTATAAACAAGAACAGAACAAAGGAAAACAAACCGCGCTGTAGGATTATTTCCGTAATTTTAATAGCACCTGTGGAAAATTTAATGCACATTACTTATAAGAAAAAGTCTATGTGGCACAATTATCATTATAAATAGCAGAAAGTTTAAACTGCAAGCTTGGTTTAATCAATCAATATTAAGACATTAGATTTAACAATGATAACTTAATCTTTTCTTAAAAAGAAGTTAAAATTCTAGATACAAAATTTCGTAAATGTTACATCTAGTTTACATTTTAGTGGACTAACATTAAAATGTATAAATAATAATATATTCAATAATTTCTTTCTTTCAAAGTTTACAATTAACACACGTCTTTTCATTCGTTTAATATATATTTTAACTACATATTAGCTGTTCCCAAACCCACCATATATTCTGAGCTATTTCAAGTTTGTAATTTTCACCATTGATTGTAGTTGTAAAAGTTTTTATGATGGTGATATTAAATTGAATATGGCCGTCGAGACAGCAGACGACAGTTCAATAAACGCACACAATAGGTAGACTTAACTACTATATTATGTTCGAATATTTCTCATAGACTTAACTCTCTTATACTGTTTACATTGAGATAGATTTGACTTAAATCATCCTTCGTTACCCTCTCCTTTTTTATTTATAATGTACTCATAGTTTAAAAAATATATATTATTACTAGCTTTGTGCCCGCAGCTTCGACCGCGTCGAGTCGGTTATATCGAGTTTCTAAAAGAACCTTGCAAAAATCTGGGATAAAAACTATCCTATGTTTATTCTCAAGGTCAACTCTATCTCTTTACCAAATTTAATTAAAATCAATTCAGTAGTTTAAGCGTGAAAGCGTAACAGACAGACAAACAGAGTTACTTTCGCTTTTATAATACTAGTAGGGATTGCTTAAAAAACATATGTTGTTAAAAAGATTTTTAACACGTATTTTAGTCGTAATTTCATTGTTTTTATACGTTTAGAGAAAAAATTGTTGTGTTATAAAAATATTTAATTTATTTTTCTTTAATAATTATATCTCGAAAAAAACTACCAGGTTCTCATTACTCTGCCAGTGCTAAGTTCTACTAATAATATATATTCTTTTCTTTTGCTAAAGGATTATTATAATGAGATCTAAGATTTCGCGTGTATTCATTTATCTGATGTTTATTATCATCTCGTCTGCCCGTGATCACGGTTGCTATAAAGTAGCCGCATCGTCGGGAGTATGTACCTAGTTTATAGTTAAAAATAAGAAAACGCGTAGTAATTCCGAAAATATTAGTTTCATTTCAAGGATTATTATTTTTAGTAAATCATCCGTTAAATTGTAAAAAAAAATACTGTTCCTATAAATGGTTTTATATCTTTAAATTAATATCTTTTAATTTATTAATAACCAATTTAAGATATCCTATCAAACGTAGTTAACAAAACGTTTTGTTTGTTTTTTACCTAATAAGGATAAACATGTAGTCAGAATGATATAAACGTTCTAATAAGTTATTCATCTTAAACTATTAATCCAAATTGATTTCTAAACAACATGACGGAAGACGCATAAAAGGAAAAACGAAATTGTTTTTATTTAATTAGGAGCATTTTCTTATTTACTCATCTTTTAAACCTTCCAGCTTAAGTATAAATATTTCAAGACCACAATAAGCTCAATCGGCTCTACCGTTGTCGTCTTTTAGTGAGATTGACAGACAGCATTTTTATATACATATATTTAACGATCTTACAAATAAAACAATTAAACTGGTAACTACTTGATTACGCAATCCAGTCTTTTCGGGTGTCACTTAAATATTTTTGATAAAATTGTCACTGCGTATCGTTTCTTTAATATAACCACCACTGCTATTTGAGCACAACTTTAATTAAAACATTTTGAGTATACATAATGATCGTGAAATTTTTATATTGCGCGATGTAACTTGTGGCTAGTATCGTCTATGATATTATTATTACGCTTATTACTCTAAGGTATCTTAACGTGGTGGAATAATTAATATTTGTGTATTTTTCTATTATGCTAATTGTTGTAATTATTGTTTTCATTACTATTTAATTAATCTCGTTTTAAACAATATAAATAATCCCTTAATATGTAATACGATTTCCTACAAGCTCTTACATTAGTCAAAGAAAAGCTCGAACATTGACTCTGTACCTACATACTTATTTTACTAAAACTTTGTTAGTTATTAAAACGATTTGTAAGTATTATTATTAAATAATGAAATGAAACGATTAAATATTATTTAAATATTAAATTGTAAAGTACCTTTGAAAGTTTCATTCTTATTTGTAAAAGTTTAAGTTATAATTTATAAGAATTAAAAATAAGAACTTTTATAATAAGTGTATAAAACTTTATTGAATTTATCACTAAGTCTTTGGTGGATTTTCTTTTAACTATGACTGCAAAAAGTAGAAATAAACTCTTAACCCTTACGGGATTTTTCTTTAGAAAGAGTAGAAAAACATTTTCAAAAAACACAATAAATTAATAATAGTGTCGGGGATTCTGCAATTCCGCGTAGTCAGCATTGGATAATTGGATTGACAATGAAGTGCCTAAACTTAACAATTTTCTAAATTAATGACTTTTAAGGTAACAATTTCACAATGAGTAATAAATAAATACTAACTGTAAATAATTACTAACCTTGTAAGTCATCTCTCAATTTCCTCTAATACAGATATGATATGATAGATTTTGTTTTGTTACCTAATATTTTCTTCCGCTAATTGCTGATAATAACAATTTCTGACGTTTCATAAACATTGGTGTAATAATCTTCAGTGTTATGCAATTTTATTTTTTTGAAAATGTCATACGAAGTGAGTCAAACTTTTATGAGTAACAATAAGAATATTTTGTTAAATAGTCCCATATTATATGTTTTATTTGCATTTGTTCCGGGATAAAAGTTAACGTATCAATGGCTGAAATACAATGATGTTTTAATTCATGATATTAAAAAACCTCCCTTATATTATACATAAGCTTTATAACCATGTGATAAACTGTCTATATGATGGATTAAGCTGTTGTTTTAGACTAAATATTATAATAATTGTTAAATATATATATACAAGGTCAGGGCTGACAGTATTTAGTTATTCTTTAATCAAAAGGGTTTACATAACTTTCTTATTCACCTTCTACACTCGATTATAACGTCGCTATCTTTAACGTTATAATAAGTTTATATCGTCACACTACATTCGAAGTGTCAACAGTTTTACAATTAAAAAGTAATTGCAATTATTGAATGATAAATGAAACACGCTTAGTATGACATGTGACGACACTTAGAACAAGCGTGCTTGTTATAACTGTATTACGAAAAAGGTAATCTTTATTACAATATATAAAATTGATTCACTATCGTGTATAAGAAGCTAAGAGTAGGTATATAATTTTCTTTACTTTATATTCTTCTAAGACATTTTTTTTGGCTTTACGATGTAACATGGAAGAGAAGTTAAAATGGAAATACTTACTCCCTTTACTAGATTGTATATGTCTGAAGCGCTTGAGTTTTATATAATTTATCAAACTTAAAATATTCTAAATAAGTATGTGTTAAAAGTATAAAATAAAGAAAATTTACGAGTGAAGACGTGTGAGATACAGATCATCGAAATTCTAGGTATATAAAAAGTATTCATAATTGCTGTCATTGCATAATTTATTTTAAGAATATTGTATGTTATTAATTCGACTTCTTTTACCATAATACGTTGTATTGAAATAAAATCGTAAAGGAGGCATTACAATGAAAACGCCTAAATAAATTCTTGCAAGTAAACCTATTCCTAATTTACTGAGTACTTTTTATACAGGCTTTACTTTAAGCGATTTTTAGTATTAGCTAAATATGAATACATTATATTGTATTCTTAAACATCAACACATAAACTTATATAAGGTATATCGTACTAGTCATACTTACATCTTTCGTGAAGTCAATTTGTGGTGTCATGACTCATTCAACGTTCACATCAAACATCACTGTAAACTTGTTAAACACACCATTACAATAGATCCTGTCATAATCTACACTTGACAGATGGCTGTAATTTTTAACACTTAGAATTGGTTGCGATTTAGGCGGTCAAGTCTTTTCTTTCTTCTCATTCACGTTACCTTTGCACAGGTGTGCAATCCCGTGACCCATATTCGTGTGCAAGTGCAAATGCGCCGAGAAGTGCATCAGCGAGTGCAATTCGTGTTGTCTGAAAGTCACCAATGAGCCCAATGAAGGAGAGATCCCGTTGGCGAGTGCCAGCACCAACCTAAATAGACTCTGATCATCTAAATTGACTTCAATTAAATAACAACCGAAATTGTTGAAATGCGCCATTACTCCCTCAACGCTAATCTAAGTGCCAATAGTCAGGGCGAATGTTTTATTAAAAATCCCCAGCAATAACTGTTAATTAATAATTAAGCATTGGAAGCGCCGATCGGCAGCATCATTCCGCGTGCGACATTGTCACCGCCAGTGCTCCTCGTACTACATATTTATATGTATTTATTAAGATATATTTTTTTAAATATATAAAAAAATATAAGTAAGTCCAAGTGAAGAGTTATATTCTATGGGAAGGCTGAAAAAAAATGTATTTTATCATATTTTACAAAATATTTTTTCCCACGGCTATAAATCATGGCTAAACATTCGAGTAGTATTGATACGGATTTACAATAAAGTATTATGAACTTTAGTAATAATGATGTGGGCGTTCGCACCCTACAACAGTATGGAAAAATACATCTCGAATATGTTTGTGGGAATCCCGCATGGTGCGAGATCGGAGCAACGCGGCGTTGCGGCGCCCGCAGCCGCCAGGACGAGGGTCGAGCTCTGAGAGACGGAGGGGTGTGGCTCACGAGACACGCCATTGGCTTCCCCGCTACAGTACACTATCGCCCTATACGCCCGACCAGAACAATCTAATATCTCACTTCGGTTCATCTACTATGAAACAAAAATACCACTCCGGTCCGCACATCCGACCAGCTCGGTCACAACACTCATTGGCCGTCACCGTCCTTTGTGCTTCGTATTATGGTAATATAAATTGACCAACCGCGGAGCAAATTCGGTTAGTTCGTTAAAGTTGATTAAAGCCATTTAACCGGTACGGACACGGCGAAACGAACGGCGCGAGCGTCGATCCCGCGGCGTTGTCTCAATGAGCTTCAATTGTTTAATATCTGAGTCGATAATACGTTAGTGTATCGGGCTCGAGCCCGAGGTCCGAGGCGCGAGACGGCGAGGCAGGACGGAGTCCAGCGAGGTAGCGGCTGAGGTAGCGGGTAGTGCACCCGCCGCCGACGGCTACATGTACGTGTGTGGAGAAGGCGGCGCCGGGCCGCGGTACGAGTGCGCCTTCGACGGTGCCATGGAACAGCCCTTCGACGAGCACATGTTCAGCGAGTTCGGCAAGGAGAGACAGGTGCAGGTTGTTGTGGGAGCCGGCGGGGAGCTGCAGTACCGTGATGAGCTGCCGGTGTATGCGACGGCTGAACAGAAACGGAAGGAGGAACCGCTGCTGCTACAGGCCGTGGAGGTACAGCCGTCCCAACACTCGCAGCACGTGCCAACAACCACCACCACCACGACAACCTCGAAGAAAAGCGACAAGAAGAAAAGTGACAATAACGGCATTAAAAAGAAAAAGACGAGGTAAGCTTATAAAAAATTATACAACATTACTATTTTTCAACCCAGAAACGAAAGCAAATATTTTATATACAGCTCTAGAATCGTTACCAATATAGAAATTCTTATATATCTAATATAATATAATGTCTACGAAAGTCCTACCAATATCTTGGCGTAGAATATGCGTAGCAAGTATGTAGCGAGTACGTAGCACGTACTTATTGATAGACGGGGGAAAAACAAAATCATTCTCTCAAAATGTATTAAAATTTAAAGTAATATGTCTTTTAACGTATTTAAATTAACTAAGATATAATCGAAATACAAGTAATTGAATGGTGCCAGAAATTCTACCAAATAGTTGTAATATGGCGCTATGAAAAAGTTATAACAATTTTGTATTAAAAAGACCAACGATTTTTTAAATAAGTATAGAAGTGTTTTCGTACCATCCCTATTAACTTTGCTAATAATAAAATGTTTGTATAGTGCATTACCCCAGTGCATAACTAATACGATGATTTTTGACATGCGATAAACGACATATGGCGTCGCATTCCTATAGTCATCATCCATAGAATTTTAATTAAAAAGAACAAACACAATATTAAAATTCGGTACAATTGAAACAACTAATTATCACCAAAGATATTAATTATATAAATTTGATATTTTTTAATGATAGTTTTGACTGTAAAATGGAATTAAATACCCTTTAAACAAGTCATCAATGGCTGTGTCATGATTTTCTTTCATAAATCTTATTATCTTATAATAATACTGAGGTTCCTTCTGTGTTTAATTAGACCGTAAAAACGCGTGGTAACCGAACTTGATGCTTTTTTAAGTTTTAACATATAAATGCTCTATGCACAACCAAAATGACTCCAATTCCCACATAGTTGGAACCTTAAATGTTAGAAAATAAAAAGTTTGAAGTCTATGGGGCGCCTTTCAAGTTTCAACAATGTATTAGGGTGTTTTTGTTATTTTCATATCTGCGACACCGATTCAATCTTAGATAATAAATGTAACTCCATGACGCAACCAGACACTTGACACAGACGCCTGGCTCATACAATTTCGTGTGTTACATTATACGAGTTAATTACCCGTATAGCAACAGGGAGCCAATTGCTTCACATATCTGATGTTATGGAATTTAGGGATGATTGTTAAGGAGGATTAGTTTACTTTCAATTAATATTGTTATACAGAGTAATAATATATGGGCCGTAAGTAATACGGTATATTCTACTATACATATACTTTTTTATTTCCAAAAACAAGACAAATTAAGTCAGTTAAATTTGCATTTTACTCTTAAGAAGCCGCGTAGAATGACAAACTATATAGCGATAATCTTTAAGTGTGAACGTTTAGGAATTATAATTATTTCAATAACAATTTATTATAAATACCACCACTATTACAAGTGCTATCAATTGTGTTACGATTAGAGGTAGCTCACGACAGGGGTGAATTTAGTTTCACGCTCAATCAATTTGTGCGCGTGCGCCCGTAGCCATATTGCACGCGTCAGATGGTAGATGCATAGCGGGATGATAAGAGTTTTATTCATTCATGAATAATTATGGATAGTTTATTAAAAACACAAACACATTGAAACTCTTAATACTTTTACAGAACTACTTTTACTGCGTATCAGTTGGAAGAATTGGAAAGAGCCTTTGAACGTGCTCCATATCCTGATGTGTTCGCAAGAGAGGAACTAGCTCTGAAGTTGAATTTATCCGAATCAAGAGTTCAGGTACAATATTATAAGAATTATTAGACTTGTTCGACGATTTAGTCAATTTGCCTAAGTTATACTATTAATATGTCAATTTTCTTATTTTAGGTTTGGTTTCAAAACAGAAGAGCGAAATGGCGTAAGCGTGAACCACCAAGAAAAACAGGATACATAGGATCCAGCTCACCAAGTTCTACCACATTGGGTGGTGGCTTTTCGGGTATCGGCGGCAACTTGCCAGCATTCCCACAAAACGGCTTACCAGCACCTTCAGATTCTTGGTCCTACCAACACTCGTACGAACTTTCATCACATCATTTGCTGTCTTCGGGCAGCAGTGGTTATCCCGCTTTCAACACGCAACCGGCTTATTCTTATACCACAGTGCTGAATGGACATGACGGACAAATGTTCGCGCCACGGCATTCATACGAGTACGGAGAAGGCAGCCCGCCCCCGCTAGGCGTACGTGACTATCCCATGATTGCTTCACACTCCCCGCAGATGGAAACCCACGGGCATGAAGATAAATTAGAGTACCGTGGCCACGAACATGAGGACAAATATTCAGCGTGTGCCTTACAAGAGGAACCGCCGCGGTACACCTCACCACCCGAAGATTATGACAAATGTAATATGGTCCCTCATGACAAACATTACGAAATCGATCGCCACTCTGAACTAGCACAGCCTGTTGTAGTCAAAATGGAACCCAGCCCCGGCCAAGCATACACGTCACTGCCCCCTTTTTTGAATTGAAATACTCCTTTTCGAAATTATCCTAGAGAACAGATCAATTTCGAAAAGGGGTATTTAAAAAAAGGCGAATATTACATTTATATATAAGATAGTACTATTGGTAGACTTAATTTTTAAACTTAACAGCTACGTTATGTTGTACCTAGAATACTCAAAGGTTGGTACCAGTATTGACAAAGGTTTTGAAAATGAAATGAAGTAGAAATTTATTAAGCGTTATGGAAAGTGAAAAATGTGAGTAGTTATGCAAAAAATTATTAATGTTTGTACATAATAAGTAATTATAATATGTGGTTGCCTATTTGGTTAGTTTATTAGAAAACGGAGAAAGCTGCCAATCACGGCCGCATTATAATCACAATGATTCAACACTCGTGCATTCCTTGTGCCTTATTACTTTATAATTAGGTTATTTTTCCGTAGAGTAAGGGTTTAACCCACATTACTTTAATTTAGATAATGCTAGTAATTATAGTAGTATTCTCAATAGTACTATAGTCTTTGTTATATATTGGTGACTGCTATGGAAATGGCTTTACATGAAAATGATTAATTTTGTATCCATATAAAAACTATAGTTAAAAATGGTATCATTAAAAACTCACAAGACAAAGAAATATATATTTAAAGATCTTATTGTAAATATAAATAATATACCATAAACGTGAATCATGTGCCAAATACATTAGCCATTAAATATTAGGTTTTAAGTAATATAAACTTTTTTATAAATATGAATTATGAATTAAGTATTTTTTTTTGCATTTGCTATTTTTAATATACCAAAGAGGTTTGATATAGATCAATTCATATTTTACCTGCAGGGTTATGGCAACTACAGTAAAAATGTATTGATTTTTTTTATATATAAGGTTAATTAAGTTCTTGCATGAATTGTAAATTAAGTTTTAAAGCAATACAATGTAAACTGGTTATATGAAGGATAATAATAATCACTATGTGCTTATAACAGACTTTTATTTAAATCAAATAATTCAAACAAAAAAAATTTATTAGCTAGCATAATTTTGTTTTAATCTGTGGTTCATGGAGCTTCCGATTTTCCCTCCGTCAAGTTTGTTCCATATGCCGTCTCCGCTGAAATGATATTTCTTTTCTATTTCGTACAAAACCAGACTCAATATTTGATCGTCAGTCAGTTTGGCACACTTCAAGCTGTTGAAGCTACTTTCTTCAATTCTCGAATCTTTCGGAAGCTTTCCATTTTCTCGAAACCTCAGTAATAAATCTATGTACTGCTGTATTTCGTTGCTGGAAAATTTAAATTCATTTAACTATGTACTGCTTAATTCTAGTAAATGTTTTAATCTGTATAGATCACTGTGTAAATTTGCCGTTTTATTTTTACTCGATTACTGACTATATTTTAATTTCGTTTTTGTATTTTCAGATTAAAAAAATAGCACTATTACTTCAAATATGTACATATAGAAGTTTTTTTTGTCTAAACAATGATGTTCATAGTGCAAATAACGTCAACTTACAAATTTAACATTGAACATAATATTAAATTACAATTTTTTTGGAATACAAATATGTCAGAAGACAAAGAAATACTTACACTGGATACAATACTATCTGACAGTTGTTATATATAACGAGGTCGCTGAAACTCTGCTTCAACAACAGTAAGTTCTCATTGACCACATGTAATGCTGTGTGTAACCAGTACTTGTGACGACGGAGTTTGTCGAGAACAGACTTATTAGTTATATGAGGGCAGTGCAACGAAGAACATATCAATACAGCCACATCTCTACTGCATATCTTGTTACCGAAGCTGTTGATGTATCTGAAATTTAAAGACTTTATTAGTTATACATAAGAATTATGCCCATTCCTTCAGTACGGATTTTAAAAACAATGTGTTTTTAATCAAGTACAAACTTTTACGTTTGATGCTAACTGGTAACCGCAACTCCGTATGCGTAAAAAATACAAAAAACAATGAAAAACTTTTACGCCACTCGCCTCCCATTCGCGCAATACAATTATGTAATTAAAAAATATGTTTAGAATAACATATTTTTTAATTACATAAAAAATATGTTTATTCCTTCAAAACAATTAAATCATTTAATTTGTGTGATAAGAACATATGTTACTATACAAAATCTTCTTCTTCTTCCTGACAATTTCCCAGCTTTAGGCAGGGTCTGCTTCGTGCATGAGAAGCGAGCCTTTGACCACTAGGCCACCACTGACTGTACAAAATAAAGTTATATAATTACGTGTTGAATATCTTGTTCGATGACACTAAATGATTCAGACTGTAGCACTGTTTCTTGGCGGCTTGGATTTTCGTGATACGATTTAACATTTTCCTTTTGTGCACCACCATGTATAAAACCTGCAATTGAGACATTTAAACAATTTATAATATTTTCATTTACTTATTTAAAACATAGATGGCGTTGTTGATAGTTAATTGTTTTAATTATAACATGAATACACATTATACTTTATAGTGGACTCATTTATTATTGTATACGCATATAAAATAATGTCGCGCTTGCTTAAATATTGTAAAATATTGTTGACATTGAGCGCCATCTCGTGACGAATGTTAAACTATTAGTTCACTAGAACAATCCTATTAAATGTTTGTAAACAAGTAGAAATATAAACGAGAATATTCTGGAATGTTCTAGAAATGGGGGTTTTAAGTCAGTCTTTGGAGAAGCGACATAAAAGCGATACAAATGATATTACCTGCTATTTTAATGAACATAATATTTGGTTTTACTAATCAATTTTATATTGCAAAACCCTAGCGCGTAACAATATTAAAACCAAAATGAAGTAGTAGCAGTTATAGAGAACAAAATATCACAATACTTACTCTAGGATTAGTTTCCAGAACCTGAAATTCTCTTAATTTAACAAGTTCATCTAATCTCTCCTGAACTGTTTTAGGATTCATGCAGTACACTTTCAAACAACGTTGTTGTGCTTCATCTGGTATATTATATTGCTGAAAGATCAACAAAAGATTGTAAGCGACATAATTACTACAATAATAATTATACTGAAATTTTATTATATTAAAATGTATCACAGTAAATAATCCTCTATTCTACATATAGAATATATGTATAAGTATAAGACTGTTGCTGTGTTTCTTGATTCATTACATTTATATAGAAACTAGCTCTCCGCCCGCAGCTTCACCCGCGTGGGGTTCAGTTATATCGCGTTTCCAAGAGAACCTTTCAAAAGTCTGGGATAAAAACTATCCTAATCCTTTTTCAAGGTCAACTCTATGTCTGTACCAAATTTCATTAATATCAGTTCAGTGGTTTAGGCGTGAAAGCGTAACAGACAGACAGACCGTCAGAGTTACTTTCGCATTTATAATATTAGTAGGGATATGTGTAGAATAAAAGTTGGTTTGGGTCTTTAAATAGGAACAAATAATTTTCATAGCCTTGTAAAGCATTAATTGTAATGACTTGTATTATATTGATACCTCCAACAGACTTCTTATTTGCAGTAAAGACTGATAATTATTCTTCAATATTGATGGTTCAATTTTTATAGCTTCCCTTATATCCAAGCCTCCCAAAGAATCTACATTCTCCAGCATAAGTTTTGTATTCACAGGATCAGCGGCCACCAAACAGCCGTTTCTTCTTATAGTGTCAGTTGTGAATTGTATATTATTCTGTGCTATGTCCAAAGATTCTATGATATCACTCATAGGCCTGTGTCGTAATGGCAAATAGTTCTTGCAATACTTCTGGAATTCTTCTGAAGTTATATGCAACTTCCACTTTAGAAACTTCTCTAAGACTATCATTCTAATTGACACTTAAAAAAAAATTACAAATGTTTGTATTAAATGAAAAAATAAAAAAAACAAAAAAAAAATTGTTTTTATCATATGTCATTGAAAATGATACATTTTGTCCTTTAGTGTCAATACTTACACTGGGAGTATATTAATGGGAATCGGATTATTAATGCTTAAGAAGCATATAGGAAAATATATATAGGGCTGAAGTTAAATTAAAGTGATACTTAAGTACTACTTACATATATTTGTTGTGGAATCATCATAATTCTCATACACTCTATCTTCTTGGAGCCAATCATGAAAATAGCTATATAACAACTCTTCCAATTTAAGATTCTCTTTCAACAGACCTTCTTTTTTTAGCTGTTTTATTGTTCTTGACTTAACTAGTGTGTGATATCTGAAACATAATAAATAATTGCGCATATTCATTCAATAATGATTATATTTATATAGTTTTCTATTCATATCACCTTTTGGTGATATGTTCATGGCACCTAACATAAAAAACAAGAACGTCCTGAACCACATAATATAATGTATCTATAGAAACTGTAATAAGTTGGGAACCTAAAATTTTCTGGGGAATTGATTTTCTGCTTTTAATTTTTTAAAGAATGTCCTATACAAACTTTAATTTTAAAAGAAATAATGAATATGGCCTATACCTTATAATATGTTTTGGTTTTATAAAAGCGAAATTGCATTCCTGCAAGATCATTCCATAGTTATCCATTGCTATTGGATTCATGCAAAAAACATGTGGATCCATAAAAGCTTCCTCTGCACTAATACCAAACTTATTAAGAATCTGAAGCGTGATTTGTAAATCTCTTTCAGTAAGATTATTAATTTTTGAACCTTCTTTTTTTAACCTATGTAGAAGAATTTCGGGAATACTTTGACCTGAAAAGAATTAAGAATGTTTGGTGTACGTTGTTGAAGACTCATCTCTTTTTTTTATAAGCTACCTACCCATTAATCTTTCGTACAAATCTATAAAAGGCACCCCATAGTAATATCGTTTTGTTCCCCGTAATATCGGTACTGGATAACCAGTTATATAAATATTAACAGGTGATTTTAAATATCCTAGAAATCGCTTTATATACATTCTTAATGATATAAAAATTAAATATGACCGTTATCACATTTTCAGTAATTTTCAATTACTTCAGAAAATACATTATAAACAACTCTTAAAATGATTTATTTACAATATTGAGAGTTGTCAGTTGACACCTGTCAACGTTGAAGTAATTAAAATACAGATTAAATAAAATAGTTTGATGTGGTAAATATTATATTACGGTTAATGTAAAATACAAAGTATATTTTTCAAATCTAACATATATGTCTTTTAAAAATTTACTTGAATTCTAATATTGCAATTTTTAATAGGAAATGACAAAAAATACTTTCCCAGATTATGTTGGAAAATAGCAGTAAGAGGTAATAAGAGATTAATTTTTAATTTCATAAAAAGCATGCTTTATAGAGTCGGATTAAATTATATCATGATTTGCATTAATCTCAAAAAACGAATAAAATTATAATTAAAAGGCATTTACTCTAAAATATAAATCTGACATCATAATTATTTATCTCATAACAAACATTCATGATAGAAGGTAGAACTATGAAGTCGGTTTTTCACGCCTTTTCAGTTCAGTGCTGAATGAATTCTGAAATATTGGGTATAGAAACGTACAAAACATGATTTGTAGTAAGAATAAAAGTTTATGTGAAAATGTTCTATAAGTTAAAAATACACATAAGTGTGAAATAACCAAGTTTAAAATACAATAACACAATGATGTTATTATATACATTGTCTTTTAAAGAATACGTTTTTATTAGTATTTATGCGAATATTGTAGACTTTCTTTAGGTCTATATTAAGAAATTGTTTACATATTAACAAAAAAATTAGGAAAACGTAAGATGTTCATTATTAGACCCTTATTATTTAAAAAAAATGTTAGATTTATATGCGTTCATTTAAATTAAATCTTTTTGCTTTAGATGGACTGGTCTGCAGTTTCTAGTCACTTCAAACAGACATGGCTTACTACTATAATGAGTATGATTTTATTTACCGGCGTCACATATTTTTTGGTGTGGTCAGAGGTATGAATTAAAATCATATAAAGTCTCTTAAATGGTTAATTAAATATTATATGAATTGTATTCTGATTTAATTTATTTCTTCAGTGCCAAACTATACAAAGCAACTTAATGTTAGAAGATCTAATATCTGCTGCAGAAAGCATTGATGTATTTACAAAAGATGAAGCGGAACATTACGAGTCTAAAGTGGTCCATATAATCGGACCTCTAAGAATATTAGAACCGATTTCAGAACCAGACTATAATATACATGTACAAGCTGTGAAGTTACGAAAGAGAGTGCAAATGTACCAGTGGATAGAGGAAACAACGTAATATAAAAAAAATGTTTTAGTTTTAAACTTAAGTATTAGTATGATAGTCCAATTATAGCACAATTATTCAAAAACTATGAAATTCTGTCTTATTCATTTTATTTAGCAATAACAACATATATTGTTGCTTTATTATTAATTATATATATGAAACATGTAAATGGGACTTAATGAAATTTGTACTTTGCAGGGAAACTGACAATTTTCTTAGTGAGCCAGCAGAGGAATCTCAAAAGACGTACTGGTATCATAAGGACTGGAGAGACTATGTTGTTGATTCATCATTGTTTTATATAAGACCTGGACACCACAATCCCACATCAATGCCAATGTTCAGTGAAACTCATATCGCTGATGATGTGAAAATTGGATGGATGTTCTTAGGTATATTTAAATGAATATTGTATTATATCTCTCAGATACTAACTACTATTCTTGTATGGAAAACCTTACTAACAATTATTTAGTAATCTTGTACAGCTAGATGAGCCAATAAGGAATGTATTGAAATTAATGTTAAGAATCTTATAGTAATAATTCATCATCATCACCATCATCAGCCTATCTATCAGCCACTGATGAGGAAACCCCTCTTCTCAAATAGTAATATTTGAATATTTTGTTTCTATGGAAATATTACTTTGAAAGAGGTTTTACTTGCTTTAATTGCTTACTTGAAATACTACGTTTCCATGGTTTATTTTTACAGTGGTTTATAAAATATTATATCTTTATAACAAAGGTTTCTATGTAATAAATATTGTCTGTGATATTGGTTTAATGGTCATTACTACAATAATAGGCTATTTTTATGTATAAGGCGGATATTAGTGCCTGAAATGATTAGAAGTGTCTAATCATTTCAGGCACATTATCTCAGATTTCCTCTATGTTAAAATTATAAAGAATATGGTTTAACCAATTCTAATATAAATTTCCAGGTATGGATGTCAAACGTAAAGTAAATGACTATTATGAGATCTGGTCCGACACCCGTCCAGACAGGAGTGATATCAAACTACACTCCGGCTTCTATTACCATGGCAACAGTGCATTGGAGCATGAAATAGGTGATCTTCGTATTCATTTCTCTTATGCTGGCAGAGAGGATGATATTGTAAGTTATTGACATTTCCCTCCAACTGTTGATAATTTTAACATGTAACTTTTTTTATAAATTTATTGTCATATTAGCAAGGAGGTTAGCTATTTTAAGAAGTCTTAACACCAACAAAATATTTATTCTAAAATTAAATATAGTTAAAATATACTTTTCAGTATACAGCAGTGGGTTTGGTTGAGAGAGCCACTCTTCAACCATACAGCGCTGAACGTTTTCCCACAGCGGACCCCATATCATTACTAAGGAAGGGATCATACAGTTTGAAACAGTTGCATGATCTAGAGAAACGAGATGCAAACACACACACATGGAAATACAGGCTGTTGGGATTTGTGCAAGTATTTGCATCAGCTATGACTCTACATCCTGAATGGCTGACATTATGTATGATTGTTTTTATATATAAAATATCTGTATCACTAGAAACAGTAATTTAAAATATATTATTTTCTAGTTCTCCAATGCCAATGGATATCGAGTAACTTAAGGAGATGTACAAGATTGTGGGTTAATTTAGTGCTTTCTTTCTCATATACACTCTTTGTGGTCTCTATGCCTTGGTAAGTTTTGCCTTATTTTTACACAAACATTATTTGTCAACAATTTTCTTGCAAATATCTCAAAAATTATTATTTTAAAATTTTCTAATCATGTAATACATATCCAATTCTTATCTTTATATGTTTTACTAGCTTTTGCCGCGGCTTCGTCCGCGTGGAATAGTTACTTCCGACAAATTTTTGGTTCTTCAAACATAATGGTCGAGTTCACGTAGAATTTTCAGGATGAAACCTATGTTTTTTTTATTAATAATGAAGTACTCTTAACCAACAACATATTTATTTGTTTATATGAATAAAGATTAATATTATTATTTAGATACAACTTAAACAAATTATTTCGACAAAATTAGGTAGACATATACTGTCGCGGACTGTTTTTTAGATCATTAAAAGAGCTATTATTCTTAATACATATTTTTTGTGTATCTTGAACCGTTTTCACGGCGCAAGATGAAATAATTACTCCCGTTTTTTACACATTTACCACTATATGTTTGCTCCTATTGGTCGTAGCGTAATGTTATATAGCTCAGAGCCTTCCTCGATAACTCGACTATCTAACACAAAAAGAATTATTCAATTCGAACCAGTAGTTTCGGAGATTAGCGCTTTCAAACAAACAAACAAACAAACAAACTCTTCAGCTTTATAATCGATACCTCCTAAGTATAATGAGTCAACTGACATTATTGTAATTTTACAGGAGAGTGATTTGAAGGCAAATCGTTTATATTTTAATGAAATCAAATTAATTCGAAATAAAGTAAATGTTTTTTTAATAAAAATTGTAAGCACTTCCTTTGACATATAATGATTTTGCTGATTTTTGTTTTTAAATTACATTTTATGTAGATGACCGGGTATACGCCGGCGGGGCTCAATAGTGAAATGGTATAACTACCAGTTATATTCATATACGTTGTCCACCAAAATCCATCATTTACACCTAAACCACATGAAATATGGTGGTCATTTTATGAATATATTTTTACTTTTATTCATTTTCGGGGTTTTCTGTCTCACTTAATAATAAAATGCTGAAATTATATCACTTGACTCATTATACGAGGAAAGTACTAGCAATGTTAGCATTTGAAACCTCAACGTATACTGGACCAATGTAATTTACGCGAGGTTTTTTATTAATATTTTTTTTAATATTTTACGATATGTGGGATTAATAAAAGCTAGGAAGAAGTACAAGAATTATAAACCAAAAAAAAACTCATTTTAAAGAATCATAATTTACTTTTCACCATAATTAAGTAGGAATATCTTTTTAAAATAATTGTTTTATAAAATGTTAAGCGTAAACTAATCACTATAAAAAATATGAATGCTCCATCTTTAAAGTTCCATAAAAAACAAAGAACAATTATCAATCAAAATAAAAACTAAAACAGCTTCTCCTTTAGTAGGTCAATAAAAATAATCAGAATTAAAAATGATAACTTACGTTAAACATTAATGAAGATTATAGGAACTAATAACGTAACAGTCTAGGTATTTCTAATACTCAAAAATTAGTGACAAGGCTTAACAAATTAGAATTAAGTCAGAATCGCTATTGTTAGATCCAATAGAAAGCTAGAAGAAAAAACAAATAAACATTTAACAAAATATCGATGTTCCATCATCAAAGTTTCATAGAAAAACAATGAACAATCAATAAAAAGAAATTAAACAGGTACTTCTCTAGTGCGTCACCAAAAATAATAAGAACTAAAAATGGTAACTTACATTATACAATTTTAATAAAAATAATAGAAATTGATAACACAACAGTCAAGGCATTTCTAATGCTCAAAAAATATAAAGTTTAACAAATTAGAGATCAGTCAAAATCGCTGTCGTTAACTTCATTAAGTCCGTTGAAATCAAATTATTAAAAAATAAATGGTACTCCTTAGGAATTTCCAGCGTCTTACAGAGGTCCATTAGGTCTCTGTGCTTATTTTGGTCAATAGGAATGGGTCTCTGATAAGCTAAAGAAATATTGTTTACATCAATATTTAATTCTTTCGATTTCGTGTACCTTTAGGTTTTTTAGACAATCTATCCACTTGTAAGAATCATCTTGGTAACTCGTCTTATAAAACAGCCTAAATGGATATTCCGCTTTAACTTCTACTTCCGTTACCTTATTCCAGAGCATTTTGGGTCCGTCGTTGGTAGTTGTCCAGTTATTTATAAGTTTTAGCTGTGTTTTAAAGTCTTTAATTAAATCCTGCGACACTTTAGTAACTTTGTGTGGCTTTCCATCGGATTTAGCAAATCTAAAAGCTGTATACCATTGATCAGGCGTATAAAGCAACTTATCTTTAGTCTGTCTTTCAATTAAAGCGTGCATACTATCGCCTTCATTTTGAGTGTGACCCACAACTAATATCTATAAAAAACTTCAAACTTGCTAACATATACATTAAGAATACAATTCTGTTTCTATTTTGGCCTCCACAGTTGTCTGACCAGAACCGGTAATCTTTGAAACCATTACCCACCTTATCTTCTATAAACTTGAAAACACAGCTGGAAATTTCATTAGCGCCTCTCTTTGCTGTCTGTTGATGCCATGAAAAACAATAACCCTGACGAAATCCCAGATTGAATATTGTGAAATTATACAAAGAAAGTTTCTGTTTATAATAAAAAGTACTGTTTGACTCCATTTTATTACTAATAGCACTCGACGCCCATGGTCGTATACTGAGCTGCGATGTAGTTGTATCAACGCGTCCTCCCTCACGCCCCGCGTACACTGGTACAATGTTAGTTAGATCAGTTTACAATGTATGATTTTTACTGATGTTGCAGTTGATTTAGTATACGTGAAATTATTTCGGTAATTATCGTTCTTTTTTATTATTTTTTTACACAAAAGTTAAGATCACGACTTATCACGTACGTTTATATAAAAATATAAAAATACCTAAATTTGTTAGTTGACTCAGTATACTTAGGAGGTATCGTAATATTAGTATAGATGATTCATAAATGTCTTAATTAGAAATCACAGAATCTTCAAACACTTCCATCACATCATTTGTTTGATTTTTTTATTGCCTTCTATTGGTTATATTTATTGATGACACAATTTATTAAGAAATCATTTACATTTTAGGTAGAAAATATAGTCAACAACTTTGAGTGAAGACAACAGATATGTTTCTTCATCCAGAATAGATCTTTTCTTATAATAAAAAATTTAGATGGGATTAGAAAACTGTTTCTGTTTGAATAGTTTTTCTCGTTGATTCTCTTTAAATATATTTGTCCATAATAAACTATTTCCAGGTTGGTCCACAAGCCTGCTCTAGGATTGATGATTCTCATGGGCAGTTTTTGTCCATTGCTACACTATTCCACGCTACTGGCCCGTGAACCACGACACTCGCTTTGAATACGAACAGAAGAACTACTTATATGGAACTCTACTTGCCATGGAACTGATTATGTTACATGTTTCAAGAACTCTTTATAATAGGCCATAAAATATTGTGAGAAATGAGAATGATGATTTTTTGTTACCATATTTAATTTATTTTCAGCTTTTAAAAATATCATGTTGTAGAATAAAACCTTTACTATTTATACTTTTAGTTATACATAGGACATAATATTCTGCCTCCATACTATTTCACACTCTATATCACCTGAGTTTGTCTCAACAAAAATCTTTTTTTAGAATAGAAATGTGTTCCTATTTCTGGTAAATTACTGAACAACTGAAGATATTTAACAATTGTCATCTTCTATTTGGTGGTTTGTGAATTAGCATTAGTGTTCCCCGATTTTGATCATTTAATTCCTAAATAACGGATTTTATGGTCTCAGTCTTCCCTCTTTTTTAACGAATAAATACTACTATCCTTCCCTAAATAACGTCCAATATTTATACCACATCGATTACACCAGTCATTTTCATTCAGTTCAGAATGAAACCAAGATCAAATAATCATACACTCTTATCCATATAAGTTAACATTTCATGTATTCTGTAGTTACTTTTGTAAACGACTACTTGATGGAGAACCTTGCTGATTTTAATTGAAGTCTTATAACTACATTCAAAGTAGAGAAAAAGACATGTACTTATGTATGTAACCATTATTTGTTATTAAAACAAAATGTGTATTGCTCATTTACATAAAATCCTAGGCTTTTTAAGGTAATATATAAGCGACCAATGACATATTTATTCTTAGTATGATAAATATACATATTAGTATTGCATATATTGTATATACCAATACAAAACATAGTGCACAATTAGTAATGTAGATAAAAATAGGAATTATATTCAAAATCATGGTTTTATGGTAGAAAGAAAGAAATTGTCAATGGTATTCAAACTATAAATTTAATTTATTGCAATATTTAGTATCGGTATTTACCTTCTAGTCTACATATGTATGTGTTTTATAATTTTAAAGTAGCTCATTAAAATGTATACAATTTTCATTAAAATTTTAAATCGTGTAATAATTGCGGTTTTTAAAATTATTATTCCTCGTTTATATAATTTATGACAAATAGAAATGTTTTAGATTTGTGTAAAGTAAGTTGGAATGTGACTTATCAAATGGAATTTTATATCGCATAATAAATTTGTACTAAGTAGTTTTAAAAATTAAAAATATAAACTATAGCAATCATAAAAAAATATAATAAACATTTCAGATTATTGGGGTTCGTTATTAAAATTTACTTTTATCTATATTAGAATTATCATTCACTTTAAACTTTCATTAGATTGAGGAATTTTGTTGGTATTAATACTTAAAATAATAAAGTTTATAAATCCTGACACAAAAACAACTTGCTTAGTTTTTTTTTGTCAGGAGCTCTGTAATATTATGTGTTGTGGTAATTTATGCAAAACCAACTGAATACGGTAGCAGTTTTTAATTGGAAAAGTTAGAAAATTTTAACCCGAGACGTGCCAACCAGTACAAGATATGAATAAATAAACAGTTATAGTTTATATTAGTTCGATATTATTGTTTTATGCACTAATTTAATATTAAATAACAATTAAACCCTTGTATAAATTATGAATGAAATAAAAATTTATTAATTCAAGTAAATTGTTTTTTTTTTTGTTGTTGACGCTATGCAATAAATAGGTCAAAGAACAAATACCCTTAAACCTCTTAAACTAGCTGCTAAAAAAACTCTTGATCCGAGTTCTCTCCCATTCAAATCATAAGTATGTTGGAATAAAAAATTATGCCTATGAATCTTTTAGCCTTACATTCCCCATCCACGTAATTTAAAAAAATACTATTAATAAAAAAAACAGGATTGGGCGATTTTAAGCGCTGAGTGTTTATGTCATTAGGTTAGATAAGTGTTGTGAGCTAAAAGCTCAGATGTGTTTCTGACTATAAGGGTTAGTAGACATCACGCATGCGCCGACCGCTAGTCTCAGCTGATCGCACTCCACCCATTGTAATTTCGGTTGCGGTGCTTATAAATAAGCTTTTATAGGGTTGTGATAATATTCAATGTTAATAACTGTAGTTTTTGTAAAAACGTTTATATTTTGCGTGTTACCGTAGCGTTGTACAATATTTAACACTTGCAGTGCTTATATTGATACAGAAATGAAAACGGCGGCTATGTCTGTTTGGATTTTCATAAATCTTTTGTGTTTTGGAATGTGTGGATATTTATACTTAATATGGTCTCAATACTGGATGAGTATAGAAAGACAAAGATTGTTTAGTAGGACACCAGGACCTCCGCACAAAAACAGCATAGCTGGAATCAGTTTTCAAGAGACGTTTTCAGAAAATATACAGACAAATATAGCTATACATGGTAACAGTTCCATACTGAACGCAGATTCCATCCGCAAAATAAGAAGATCGGTCGCCTTAAAAGCCAGCCAAATATCGCAAGGGTCCAATAGATCTAACGGTAGCCAAATGCGTTTTGCAAATAACATAGTGTTAAAAAGTCACGGAAGTCCCCGCTTTCCTAACATTCATACACCAGTTTTGGAATTCGATAGTGATAAGTATAGTTGCGAGGATTATACTACGCCAGAATGTGAGTCAAAAACCATAGAATTTAAAGAGCTTTTACTGAAGGAGTTTCATAGAGTTTTAATGAGTGAAAGTAAAGTATTTACGTCAGGGCTTGAGTCGCAGAATCCTTATAATGTTAAATACCAGAGAAGTGCTGTAAAACAATTTAGTAGGGAGGAAATATTATGTGCACTTTTGAAAGTTCGGGTAAAGACCGTAACGTCTAAAGATCAACCTTTCGCCAGATTGGGTTTTAAAATACCGAAATATCCGATATTAAAAAATAAAAGATTTAATAGTTGTGCCGTTGTAACAAGCGCTGGGGCTCTTCTTGGATCTCGTTTAGGAGAATTTATTGGTAAGTTTTTCTACAACACTTTTGAAAGAGTTCTTTGATCATATTACAAAAATGTTATAGAATATATTGTATAAAAATATATATTGAGATGGAACTCATATTTTTAAATATTATATAAGACGAAAGTGTTGAGAACCTTACAATAAAAATATGTTTTACTGATTAATGTAATTTTCATTGGTCTTGTAAGTGTTGTTAATAAAAATATTTAGATAATTTTATGTAATTGGTACAACCTTATTCTCGTAGCTTTGATCGTATAGGTTTTATTTTTATATATAAAATAACAAAAGTTCCTATCGGATGCAACTATGTATGTCGCCAGCTATATTTTATAGACTTTCGAAAGATGTCAGACAGCGAGATCACATATTTTTAGTTACACTATCTGAGGAAGACTGAAGACATTTATCATATGGTACCCTAAACCAACACTTATGCCGCCTTATCCCAAGTTAGAATCATCAAACTAAAAACCGGCCGTTTCCAGCACAATCCATTTTTCTACGACGATAACATCTCTTGGCATTGTTATTAATGAAAAATTAGAAACTGTTTGTCTCGTTGCATGACTCACATTAACGAAAATATTAAAAACATTAAAAATACCTGCAATTCCATTTAAAAAGCAAATAATAATTTTTATATCTAATACATAATTTGTTCGTTTCTTTGTCCGCATCAAAACCATTAAAGCTGTTTTAAGATACTTATTATTAATTCTGCTTTAATAAAATATGTATAACAAAACATAAATATCGCTTATTACTACTACAACTATGTTGCATTAATATATGTGACTTAATGATAAATTCATTCCATGTTTCTTTTAATATTGGACGATGAATAAATTTTGTTCTCATCAAACAATGAAAATGTAATCTAATGAACATAGGATAATGTTAATTAATAAGTATTCATATTAAAATATTAAGTTTAAAATGCTTTACAAGTATTTTACAAACGATGTAAATAACTCGTTGGTTTGTTTTATTCATGATCTAAGTCTAGTTTAAGGTACAGTGGCGCCGCGCGAGGAAGCCGGCGTCCGCATTTGAAATCTATCAACCGACTTATATGTCGTATCTGCACGTGTAAAGGAAATATGAAGATAAATACATATAAAATCAGTTGCACTTTTTGTTTGTACCTATGGTTGATAAATAATATATTTATTTATATTATAGTTGGTAATCGTCTTCCTTTTTTGAAATTAAATTAAATATCCATAGAGTTTATACTTTATTATTTTATAATTTATTTTTTGTTAAATTAAAACTGCTATCAAAACGCACTATTCATAGATCTTAATTCCATTCTAAGGAAGTTTTTAGCGACATTTAACACGGGTATAAATGTTATCAAAAATCTTATAAGTACTTTATACATACATTTTTGTATAGTAAATCAAAAACTCGGTAGCTTTGATGGTTTTGATGGTAAAAAAAACTTAAGGGCATTATCCACGATCTGTGAATGGACAACCTTGAACGAGTACGTCTTCAGACGACAATGAAAACACATACGAAGTATCTACGTACAATATTATTTAAATCACAATTTAATTCAAACAATAATAATAATTATTTAGTACACGTAATATTTGTTAAATGATTAATCATCATGTTTAAAGTAAGTCTATTAGTCCGAGGGCCCAAAGACCTTACTTTTTTCCGTTAAAAAAAAACAAACATATATTAATTAAACAAACAGAGGAAGAGACATAAACTTAAAAAAACAAACATATATTAAAAAAACAAACAGAGGAAGAGACATTTTTTAAACCTTACCAAGATGTTGATGAGTGTTAAGATGATCATTAGAACTTGCTGTAATATATTTTTCATTTATGCATACCACCTGAAATTTAATTCTCGAAACATTAATTTCTGTAGGTATATATATTTCATACAGAACTAGTATCTCTAAATCGACGATAAAGTCACAAAAAATTATCAATTATTCTGCAATCGTTTGAACAGTTCAATTGAAATAAATCATATAACTAAATGAAACTAATAGTTTCGGATTTACTACGAGATTTTTACTTTTGGTTATAAACTCCACACTCGACGTTTCGGTTACTTTACAGCAACTGCGATCACGTGCAGACAAGATGACGGCAGACATCAGATAAATGAATATTCGTGAAAATCTTAAATTTCATTATATAACTAATATTAAAAGCTTTTTAACATATGTAATGTTTTATCTGTCAGAAAATAAGTAAGGTCTGGGAGCCATGGGATCTTGGACTATATATGTAGGTATTATATAAAAAAATATTATCTGTGATATAAGAAATATGTACTTCTTTAAGTTTTTTTTTATTGTTATTACTTGGCCTTTCATGACTAAATTTATATCATAAAAAACTTTATATATGGTAACACAAAAATTACTACGAATTTCGATCGTCAACGTTAACTCAGTTTCAATTTTTTTTTTGTCATAATTTATCAAACATAAAAATGTCGGCAACATATACATATAATAAATTTTGAATTTGGTGATATTAAGGAAAAAATTATTGCGTACAAAGAGAACACTTAATAAAAATTATCTCTCAATTAATCTCTTAAGACAACAATTCAATATTTAGATGTTAAAATTTTCTTAGTTAGCCCCTTGCATATACCTCAGAATTGGTTATAAATAAGGGTCGAATAAAAATTAATTAATGTGGCCACGTTTCTTCGGGGACAACGGAGCAGTAGCATGAGGCATAGAAATATTATTTACTTTGAGGAATAGACAATAAAACAATCGGTTGTAGATTTCAAAAACGTAGAGAGTTAAAAAAAAAAATATAAATTAATCCACACTCCATGGTAACAAGAAAGGTTTACCGTAGTGACATTATTCTTAATATAATAACACATCTCTATCATCATGTACTAATTAATAGAAAAAAAAGATCAGCAATTAAAATCAATTAAACTAACTAAATCATATTACTCGATGATGTTGCAACAGATTGTATATCATTCCTCTAACAATAGAATGTGTCAACGCTCAGTAAATCCACCACATACATAATGGAACAGTTTTATATGTCATAAATTAAATTGTTTGCGAATAGCCTTCCTTCTTTTGCACATTAACTGACACGTGACCAGTTCCAGCATTATTCTTCTAAAAATGCCTAAGCTATTTGATTTCTCGTCCATTTTTCAAAACAGCAAGGTGTATTAAATAATTTTACGAGTATATATTTTCGTTTCGTAATTATGTATCTCTTTTTTTCTTCGTACTTTAACAGTGTTAATGTTTATTTATATAACCTAAACTATATAGCACATATCAATTGTTTTATACAGAGAAACATAACATAAGTATTTAAAAAGGCTTTCTGAACCACAGTACTACAATTGCCTTTAGTCCTCGCGGTATTTCTAGTCTCCGTCTGTGTTGTTTAAGCGGTGAGGAGGGGGAGGATGCTTCTGACTCGTAGAAGACCTGACTCACACGAGGTACTTGAGAGAGAAAAATCTCCGGATAAACAAGTTACAACTTGTAGTAATTAATGTTATGCTTAAATAGTTTATATTATAATAAAAAAGTGACTGATGAAAATAACTAGATATTACATAGTAATAATAATAATATTAACTTTGAATAATTAAAGAGAATTTTTAAGAAATAAAATGCACTTACAATTGATGATAGGCAAACAAAATAGTAAATAAAAAAATTCTCGTGGTATTGTCTTAAAACATATTATATGTATATCATGGGTATTAGGAATACGCAGATCGAACAAATAATTCATGACAGAGTGAGTTAGACTGACATGTGTTTTTATTTCCTGTAGTCACATACAAACCTCAGTAGGTGGCTAGAATTAATGCTACAATGATAAGTTGAATTGGGCTGGCAAAAAAATTCACACTGAACATTCAATGTGTAAAATGTTGGAAGCCTTGAGCTCTTAATATGCTCTTCATAACATTCACAATAGATACTCTTTTTTGAACGTACCTACTACTTCAGTTATATATTAATCAATTACATAGGTAAAATTTACATTTAATTCTAATTAATATATCATAATACGACAAAGAAGATTACTGTTAAATATACCAAGTTCATAACCATTCGTATTAATTTTATGTTGACTATAATATATTATGAAGTAACGATGTTAGCTGAAATGAAATGTGAACGTTTTTCTCTAGGTTCATATAATAGAAGCTATCAAATGTAATTATCACGTTTTTATAGCAAATCGGTTTGTTTATTTCCATTGTTGAGTTCTCTTGCGACATGATTGATATTATGTGTGTTTGTTACTCGAAATATAAAAATCTTTATTTAGCTGCTTTCATTTGATATTTCTCAATGTGTGAAATGGAGCAGAAAAACAAAACTTCAAGGTCCTCCGTCCATTCGCTGTAGGATTAATAAAATTAAAACTACGTTTTTCAAAACTCTGAACAATAGTATTGCTTTCAAATACACCAATTTTATATAGTAATATAATTTGTAAACAGTTTTCGACAGTTACATTATTCGGTGTAAAATATGTAGGTAATATTTTATAGCGTGTCTCATTTTATTGCCTTGTTTATATTTCAGATTCTCACGATATGATATTAAGATTCAACAACGCACCGACAGAGAACTACACAGAGGACGTGGGCTCTAGAACTACAATGCGTATTCTTAATTCACAGGTATATTAAAAAATATATCTCTATACATAAGATAATTTGTACAGGAAAAGGTTTAACCGCTTACTTTTATTGTCTTGTATACAAATAATATCCAATTCGCAGGTAGCTACAAAACCAGAATATCGGTTTTTGGATGATCCTTTGTATAAAAATATTTCCATCCTAATTTGGGATCCATCAAATTATTCTGCTTCCTTAGAAGACTGGTACCGTGATCCAGATTTCCCCGTATTCTCCGTTTATAAAAAGTAAGTATAAGGATTATATGCCCATTTTTAACTATATATTTTTTTAATTTTATATTGTATAGAGTTTTTAGATTCATATTGTTGATATATCAGACGTTTGCGATATAACTAGTTTTGACCCGCGACTTCGTCTGTGTCAGTTTCAGAATTAGTAATGTACCTTACTGACTTAGGCAGTTTTGGATTTTTAAAGTAATTTTTTTTAATCGTACGAGATGAAAAGTATTCCACGTCAGTTTCTTGGCTCTAACCTAATCTTTTAGCCGAATCTGTACAGCCGTTCTTGAGTTATTAATCGTATAATTAATACGACAACCTTTTATACATATAGATAACAGATCGTTGAAGCGAAACAGTTGTAATACTTCAGATAAAATCTTTACTTCCTCGTGTTTCTTTCAGATTATTAGAACGTAATAATTCTGTAGATGTGCATCTCCTGCATCCTCAAGTCTTGTGGGATTTATGGGAAGTTCTTCAAGATTCAACGCCGTACAGATTGAGGAGGAATCCTCCGTCATCGGGATTTTTAGGTAGGTTTTAGTTAAAAGAAGTATATAATGAAATATTTTCAAATGCTATTATCAAAAGTAACTAGAATGAATTTTGAAATATATATGTTTCTTTATAACTGTTTCTCTAAATCAAAAAAATTTAAAACAAAATTTAATTTCAGATATTATTAAAATACCTTAGTTCATGACGAAACTCTGTGTCGAAGAACAAAAAACTAATAAAGAACGATTTTGTCTTGCAGGTCTCTGGTTTTCAATTCACAGTTGCAAGCGAGTCCGCGTGTTTGAATACGTACCATCAGTGCGTGCGACCCGTCGTTGTCACTATCATTCACCAATCGAAGACTCTGGTTGTACGATGGGTGTGTGGCACCCGCTGGCCCAAGAGAAGTCATTAGCACAACGACTGAGCGATAACTCCGATGTTAATGTGTTCCAGAGAGGTTTTATTGATGTACCTGGAGTTACTAGTGTGCAGTGTTAATACATGTATTAATAAATATAAATATAAGGGTTGAGAGTTAATTTGATATTAGATATAATATGATCTCATGGTTGTACCGGGAATGACGCTTCTGTATTAATTTGGCTGAAATTAAAATATGATGAGAATTAAATTATGTTAATACAATTAAAATAATCCGTCTTCAACTTCAATAAAGGTCATAAAGGTCATCAAGTGATGATGAGCATAACAGTCCAAGATTCTAAAAGCCAAATATATATATCACTAAATAAGTCACTTTGATTCAATAAACCTTTTAGTATGAAATAGGTTCTGATATAGGTAATAATTTAAGTCATAAGGATCCATTTTGTTTCGCATACCCAAGTAATAACATTTTGACTTGGAAGTTATCCAAAACTTCATCGACGTACCTGGAATTATAACTCAATGATAGGTACTTTTACATCGTACGTCGTCAAAGTGATTTCATGATGTACGTTTTATTTTACCGCTTGACATATTATTGCTACAAATGAGATTTTATGTGCCCTTAATATTTTTAAATTCTTTGTTTTTTCTTTGTTCTACTTCAGTATAAATGGTGACATGATAGTTAAACTTCCCGGTAATTTTTTTTATTGTTCTGATGTTAAGTCAAATAAGAAAATGTCCTTCCTTATATTATTTTATTCCGAACTAAGCTTCCAACCTCTCAAAAACAACACAAAAGATTATTATGAAGCAATTTTTTTTTAATTTAGTTTCTTAGATTTTGACTGATGACGTGTTCTTAATTTGTCTATCAATTTTTTGCCAGAAAAATTAAATATTTCAGCACATTTTTCGTATCCAAAATTTAACATATCAAAAATCATATTAAATCATTAAGGCTGAATTTTGCGAAAAAGCTAGATGGACTTGTAAATATTAGATTAGATTTTGTATTAAACTTAACAAAAGTTATTATAACTGTTAATTCCGACAATAATATAAGGCAGTGATTAGGATAAAGTTGTTGCTTGATATATTTTTTCTGTACTTTACAAACTCTACTCCGGCTTGTTTACAAGTTACAAGTGTGATGAGATTTGATATCATTTTAAGAATTTGCGTAAAATGTACAGTTTTATCTCCACACCGTTATTTCAAGTATGGTTTGTACTATAAAACTGTTTTCTTATTACCCAACCTGCTATAAATGTGACTAATGCTGAGAAAATGCTTTAATTTTTGCGGGTAATATTTTTCTGTATGCTTGCTGTTATTGCGATTTCGATTCACATTCACAAAGTCGATAGTTGATTTACCTCAGATCAATGTTGCCAAATGTTTATAATAATAAGATTTTTTTATAGGATGATAAAACTAGATATTAATAAACATTACATCTAATTTAAGTTATTGTAACATTAAAATATACGAAGATATTCTACGATCGTTTCATTTCCACCCCCATATGCTCTTTACAGCGAAAAAGGAACGTAATATAATTGCTTAACGTTCTATAACATGAGGAACAGACGTTCGGTTTAAATTTTATGAGTTTCATGTAAGGTCATGTCGGCCATGAGATGCCCTTGTGTTATCTTATATTTTTAGCGATTTGCCGTCGCGTTGTGATCATCGTACGCACGGAATACTGATCGCCGCTGTGTGCTAGGTGTCGTACATTAACTATTCATAACAAGTGTACGGAATTAGCGACATCCGATATGTGCGTAGCTAGAGTAAAGTCACTTACACAATGGTTTGTTTACATCGACGTGGATTTTAATAATCATATGTCGAAAACATATAAGATTGAAAAGTTGAGGCCGCTAACCATATTGGGTTGAGATTACATTTACATCTACTGATTAAAATATGATTATGAAAGAAATAAGAACAAGTAACTTCTATTACTTTTTCTATGCTGTTAAATGTATTTGTTATCATATATGAAAATGATCCATGCGTAATAAACTATGCGCTATAAAGTTTAGTTTGAAACAAGAATAAAAATAAAATCTGTGAAAAAAATTACTAACATCTAAATTTTTTTTTTCGTATGAAAAGAATTTACTAGAAATTTATAGAAACATAAAAGAATTTATTTACTGAAGTAATTACGTAGTCATTAGTTATCGATTTAAAACAAAATAATACTAATTAATCGAATGTAAACGGGCCTTTAGTTCACGCACCAGCAGCCAGCGCGGCGTTTCCTTCTTTATTCAACAATCTTTAAATTAGTTTTTTAACAAAACATTCGCACTATTTATATTCAGTACACCAACCGATGTACTTTAACAGCTAATTACTTAAAATTGTGATGTCTAAGGAACCCGGATTTTTCCTGTTGTACTTTGTGTCTTGATATGAGATGAGGTCAACGGCATTTGTTTCGGAGAAGTTGCATTTTGTGTAAACTTTAAGTACATGTGGACTGTGAAGGATATAACATTTATTGTTATTAGTTATCATACCAGGAAATGCTGGACTATTGCCTAGTATCCCTGTTGGCGAAGATCCAATTATCAATACGATAAACCTACCGTAGATAAAATTTTCTTCTATTGTATTTCTAATACGCTGTTGTTGTTTATTCTTAATCTTAGCCTTCGAATATTTTACAATATAATTTTCTATTATTAAATAAGTCGCAAAAAATATTGCGATATGCAACTTTGTTTTCAAATAGATTAGATGTTGGTTTGTATTTAATTTTATTATTATAAAAATACGACGCGTGGCTTTATAACAAGGTAATAAATAAGAATAATTGTATGATCACTCGTGGAAATTGCTAGTCAATAGAGATGTGCGGAAGTTATTTAATTACATTGATGTACAGGTGAAGGTAGCTATACTTAAGATTCCATACTAACGGCGCAATTTATATTCTATGTTACGAGTTATATTGATTTATAGAAAGTAGTTTCAAACACAAAATATTTTGTACACCGATAGTACATATTATCTCGAAATATATAAAGATGTTTACAAAACTGCTTAAATCCAATTGTCATAGTTGTTCTTCCATACGATTTTACGTGCTTTGCAGTTCAAAGGGATTTGGAAGTGGTGTCTATACAACATGCATTCTAAGAATTCATTTATTCAAACTTCTGTTCATATTAATATTTGAACATTATCATTTTTATACCTAATGATACTCTCTGGCCTTAAAATTATTCGTTATGCTTATAGTATTTTTCTCTACACACAATATATATGTATAATGTGAAATAAAAAAATATCTCTAATTCCAATCGAGGTAATACCAATAATAAATTATCATTTTTTTTAATTCATATAACGTGTTAGTTTTTAACGCTCATTGTATTGATTTTTTTTTAAATTATGTGCTCTATGTTCGTTTTGCATAGTTAATGTTTTCCAATATCCATGAATAAATGTTGTATTCCATTATAAGAATAAAATTGCGTTTTCCTCTAACAGACAAATTTGAGGTTTTAAGCCTTTTTTTATATATAATATTTATACATTCAAGTCTCACACAATAAAGTCAATTTCTAAGTAGAGAGTCTCATCTGGGTCGTGTACACTTCATTCATACTTCTGATTCATGATTATGAGGTTTTAGTATGTACATTGACGCATTCGACTCAACGGTGGTTTGAACTTATAGAAGCTCAATGAGATAAATTTTATACACAACAAGTTTTGTCCGTGACTTCGTGTGTCTTGTCCTCGGTATTGTTTTCAGAGAAAAATAAATACTGTGTATTTTATATAATAGATATATTAACCAACCATTAGCGACATCTATCGCTAATCTTACGTATCTTCGTACTTCTAGTAGAAATGAGTAACCTTTCTCTGTACGAATTACTTAATTTTATAAATGAGTTAAATTGTAATATATATACATGTTATTTTGATTTTTAAGCTAGATTATTTGAAAGTTTTATCATACATACATACATACATACCGACATATATATGTATACGTAATTTATTTACGTACGTATACATATATATATATATATATATATATGTATACGTAATTTATCTTCACATTAATGGTATTAGTAAGATATGATTTTATCCGTATCGAGTACATTGTGTAAACTTTATTGCAACCTAAGTTTACAAGACCTGACCCGTCTAGATTTTCAACTTCTTATTTAGCTTGCGTTTTACTTTTCAAGAAAAAGGACACTACATCTTTTTTATATGACAAGTCATATATTTATTGTGAGTCTAGAGAATCTTGGAACAATTTAAGATAGTAGTAGCGTAAAGAAAATAATAATAGCGCTCGCTTTAAAGGAAAATATTTGAAAATAGTTAAAAAGGTTCACGAAAACTTAAATATAAAAAATATTAATTATTTGTTACGATTGCTTTTAAATCACGGGTCAACTTATCATCCACAATGTGGACCGGATCACTTACTCAGAAACTGTAGACGCAAGAGTTGTGACTCACTCATGAATTGATATTTTACGATTGAAGTTTTTTTTAATAAACAGTTTTTGAAGTAAATAGAGTAATGACAATTTCTGATATCCCGTAACAAGATTGATTGCTAGTACGATAAATTGCTACAAAATTTGTCTTTTCAGTTAATAATATATTTTTAATACCTTCAAAATATACCGATTTTCATTTACAATGAATTCTTAGATTATTTTTGAAGACCATTTATGACATGTTTTATTTTTTTATAATCTATCAAATAGAACTTTCTTATATTTGACTGTTCAAGATATTTATTAATAATTTTCTGTAATATACTCATTGTATGAATATACTGCGAAGAATTGTTAAAGGAAGAAAAGAATTAGGTGTTACAAGTGAGCCAAATTCTACTAACGGCGTCGTGTGAGTCACAAAACGTCTCCAAGCGCCTATTATTCACTCTTTATGTAACACAACTGTTATAAAATTTACAGTTACAGTTTAAAACGTAATATTCGAGTTCTTTGTTTCAATCATCAAAACACTGAAAAACAACTAAACCGAATTGCATTGTACGTATTGAGGACATATTTTTAAAAGTATTTGTTTTTGGCAAAGTAGGTATAGTC